TTAGGTATGTTTTTATCCTTTTCAAAATTTGCTGCTTACATACCTAGCAATCATGTTAACAATAATATTTCAAATTACAGGCAAGTACAACGCCATGCAAGTGCTCGGCTTCATCAAATGAAACAATACCAACGCACAACACACAGTGAAAATATTGTAAGTATTTAATTTATTGTGTAGTATTAGCTTGTACTTATGGCATAGAAGTCAAACCAAACCTTCAACATCCAGGTTAGGTATTTTTTTGTTTTTTCACGATGTAGTAAGCTCATGATAGACATTGAGACCTTTTGATCATCTTAGTTGTTACTGATTATAATCTTTGTTCCACAGGTAGTTGATGAAAATGAACCGCCAGCGAAACGACGCCGCTTAAAAGATTTTAATGTTCAATGTAAAATAAAGTCACTAGGGAAAAGTGTTTGGAAAAAACGAAAAAAAATTACAACAAAAAGTTGCGCGAAATGAACAAAAAATAAAAGATTTGAAGTCGTTAGTTTTAACATTGTTCGTAATTACAGAATATAACAGAATTCATAGTTCATAAAATTTTACAAAAAAACACTTGTAACTTTTGTCATCAATTATTAACTACCGAAAATGAAATAAAAAATATGATCATGATTATTTTGTTAATATTAATAGACATTCTGCGTTTACGACCTTTGTAAATAGGGGTAAATTATGTTTCGCATCTGATGCAGCGTTCGAGGTAGTGCGCTACTCAGATAGTTTGTTTAAGCACTCGGTATCCAAAGGTATAATGTACAATCGAAATTAGTGTTAGCGGTCCTGGAAAAATTTTATCCATTGTTGCAGGAATTATTTGTGCCTAAACATCCAATCACTGATACTTGTATGGATTTACACGAAACTTTATTTTTTTTATGTAATCGGTCGGCAAACGAGCAGACGGATTACCTGATGGTAAGCAATCAGCGCCGCCCAGGGACACCCGCAACGGAGGAGTTACGAGTGCGTTGCCGACCTTTTAGGGATTTGGGATTTGGAGATCTAGGGATTGAGGGAGGGGAAGGATTGGGCCTCCGGTAACCTCACTCACACGGCGAAACACAACGCTGTGGTTGTTTCACGCTGGTTTTCTGTGAGGCCGTGGTATCACTCCGGTCGAGCCGACCCATTCGTGCCGAAGCATGGCTCTCCCACACTTAAAAATAATAAAATATATTTCGAAACTGAAATAATAAAATATATTTCGAATAGTTTTTTTAAAATAAGAATTCATTCTTATCTGAAAACTTATACTCAAAAGCTTTTGGGTGACAAGGCAAAAATTGCATAAAACTGTTTTATTTTCACACGTGTGATATAAACTTGTGATTTTTATTAATAAAAATGATTTTGCACTGTAATGACTCTTGTGATTTTTATTAATAAAAATGATTTTGCACTGTAATGACTCTTGTGATTTTTATTAATAAAAATGATTTTGCACTGTAATGACTTTTTTTAATATCCCCGGTACGGTCTGACGGCAACCTACCAATTATTCACCATCCGCTAGCCCGTGCCTATGGTGGCTGAAAATCGAGATCGGGATCCTATCGTCAACACACATGATCTTACATTCGCCCTCTTTCAATATGTATAGATATTGTTATTATTTAAATAAAAAGGACTTGATACTAGGCTTTATGATTTGGAATAAAAACGAGGACTTGTAACTGTTTAAGGAAATTTATTGAATGGTTAATATCGTGTGAGAAGTGATATGGAAGACAGAGGAGTTAGCGATAGCGTGACGAGTGACAGGACAGAATGGAAGAAAAAAACATATTGCACCGACCCCAAATAAAACGGGACAAGGGCAGGAAGATGATGATGGTTGATATCGTGGACTGGTAAGGACTTATGAAATCAAATAGGTATTGGCTTTTAGCTGCAAGTAATTTTTAAGCTTAAATGGGAACTTATCAGCTTGACTTGTTTTCAAGGGGTGTTTTTGAAAGAATACCTATCATTATAATTCTTATTGTTTACATACGTAGTATATCTTTTTAATTTGTGTTGCTTACCTGCTAAAATATTTGTGTCAAGTTTAATATCTAAAGAAATGATATCTAGATATAGCAGTATTACTGTTAAGTGTTAACGGTTGTGTGTATACGTAAGTACTCTTAAGGGTGTATTAAGATAACATGCGCTGAACACGCACAGCATCCGCGCACGCTTTGTGCTCGCCTTAGACCTAAAACATACGCAAGCGACGTAAAGCAAAGGCATGGGGCCGGCGCAGCGCAGGCGTTGGACAATTCACACACATTAAAACATCTGTTATTCCAAAATCAAAATCGATCTTCAAGGCACCAACCGTTGTTTCCTTATCAGCACAAGAACACAGTTCAAAGCAAAACCCAACAGTATTTCTACATTTAAAAAATGTTTCTGGCCATGAAATGTTGACAAATATTTAAATATTTTTTATAATTTTTATGTAATGCCAATAAACGTCCTAAGGTACCCTCAACGCATACGGTATGTTGGTGGCATGACGTAGTTTTCTCGATCAACGCAAATGGTGCGTTGGTAGCAACGAATGGGATAAGGAACATACGACAGACAGACAAACATTTTAGCCATTGTATTTTTAGCATCAGTATCGAGTTATCGACTACCAACCCCTGATAGTTATTTTGAAAATATATTTAATGTACAGAATTGAGTTCTCTACAATGACGTATTATATATAGACACGTCATGAACCAACATCGCGGCGCTTAAAAACGGCGAAAATACTAGATAACTACTTCTACGAGTAAAGAAAGGGAAAGAAAATATGACATCGTATAGTGGAATGCCTTTGCTAGAGGGAGATAAATATACATCTTCAGTTACATCGGCACGTGACTATACCTTCATGCGCCGGCCGCCATAAAATGGCGGGCGCCGGCGTCGAAAAATAAAATAAAAATAGGTTGTTTGGTGAACTTACGCATGAAATGACACATTTTTGTCTTTAACTTTTGCAGTATAATTTGTACATCGTCTGAACACACACGACGGCATACTTTCTTTATGTTTCGCACAGGTTTACACACACGATATAAATTAAAAACAAACGTAGCGTCGCGCGGCAGGTTGGTGCGTAACTAAGCGCGATGTTGTCAATTGCCTTCATTTCATGTTGTCATTTTAGAGCGCGGACAACGTATCTATAGTTTTATACATCATTGGTTCTCTACAGATTTACAATTATATGTATGTATATATTACTAAACCAAAACTAATACGATCGAAAACCACACTAAAATAGAAATGTTGAATTTAAACAATCATAAATATGTACAAAATATCCTAAAGCTAGTAAAAATAGTTGTCACCCTGATGAAAGAGATGCAAAACATAAATGACGTGTATCAAGGTCATTTTATTAGTCCTCAGTTCTTTTTTCTTGGTGCAACATCCAGTGTACTTTATAATATTCTTGCTTAAAAGACTTATCCAGTATCCAGGCCATAAACTCAAAAAAAAATGTGTTTGCGATGGTATCGGCAATTCGGCATGTCGTCATGTGTCATTTTAGATGACAGGTATACACACGTGCTTTAGTTTGTGAGGTTTGTTTGTATTCGATAGAAATATAAAAAATGGTGCGAAAATTAAAGTTTCATGAACAAAAACTACTTAAGAAAGTTGACTTCATATCATGGAAAGTCGACAATAACCTCAACGAAGTGAAAGTTATGAAAAAATATCATATTCAAAAGAGGGAAGATTATACCAAGTAAGTAACACTTTTGAATAAAACTTTCGCTGGTAAGAACAACCAATTATTGTAACTAATCTTTAATCTATAATAGGTACAATAAACTATCACGAGAAATCCGTGAATTGGCAAATAAGATTAAGGATCTGGACGCTGGTAATGAGTTTAGAACAGAGTCGAGTGCTCAGCTACTGGAGAAACTGTATCAAATGGGCTTGATTCCTACGCGGTGGGACTTGGCCTTGGCTACCAATGTTTCAGCGAGCTCCTTCTGCAGACGAAGACTGCCTTCAGTAATGGTTCGAAGTAAGTAAAAATAAGTGTTGTAAGTAATGAGTGAAGTGTAACATTAAAACACCACCTAACAAACTTCCATTTGGTTAAACATTATAAGCAAATCCAAGTGCAAGAGCAAATACCATGGTTCTTAGTCTAGTAATAGTTGTTTAATTAGAACAATAAATTATTAGTAGTAGAATAAATTATTTATTCTACAACTAGTTTGACAACTTCTTGACAAATATTTTCAGATAAAATGTCAGAGAATATGAAAGAAGCAACTAAATATATTGAACAAGGACATGTTCGTGTGGGGCCAGAAGTTGTAAAGGATCCTGCCTTCCTTGTAACCAGAGCTCTAGAGGACTTTGTTACCTGGGTTGATGGGTCAGCAATCAGGAGACATGTCATGGAGTATAATGATTTGGTGAGTTATTTAGTCTTCAGTAAACACCTTTACTACAGTTATTTATTTATTAAAATTTAATGAATTGTGCCTTAATGCCTTCTTATACTTTTTCCTTACAACACCCTTGAATTGTATAAACATAATAATTGTTTAAAAATAATATGGTAAATTAATGTCTTGTTTTTGTTACAGAGGGATGATTTTGAGATGCTGTAACATTCTGAGGATGACTAATTATTATATTCTAATTCTTATTTAGTATAATGTAAATATTAATAACTAAGTGTAAGACTTCCTTTGTAAGATTATTGAAATAAATACAAAAAGTTTCATTAAGTTTGAATTGCTATTATTATTTTATTATGTTCTATATTTATTTATCAAGGCCTTAGCCACTCTAATTAAAGAATAGTTTTTGATATGACAATATCTACATTTTTATACAACATGAATTAAAAGATATTTTGATCATATTTAACAACTATGCTTTGAAATAAATCCACTATTTATTTTTAAAGACATGAATCCTAGGAACATGCTAACAGGTGATTCTACAGTCCAATCTAAATAAAACTTATATACATCAATTAAATTACACAATATACAAGATTCAATTCCTTTGTGAGCCTCATGAGATCTATCCTAGCATAGTTTGTTGTGTTATGCTTCATGATATAATACATTTTGATTCATTGTAGAGGTTCATTCTTAACAATAGATTAGAAATTTAAAGGACTAATTTCACCAATTCCTAAATCACAAATCCAGCATACTGTTTCTCTGTGCCCTGGATTCCAGTACACCAGCTATCCTCATGATAGCCTCTGCCTGTGAAGTGGCAGCATCTGCCAATCTCCTAAGTGCTTCAGCCTGCAGCAGTGAGGCTTCAGCAGTCTTCGCAGCGACTACAGCACGCTGCTCTTCTGCCTTAGCTCTTATTAATTCTGCATCAGCACGCTTTTTCTCTACTTCTATTAGCCATTTCGGATAAATGCCTGGTAAAAGATGTGCTCTTTTGTTTAATGAAATAATACACACTAAATAGAAGAGATGATGTTGATGCTAATACATAGGCAGGCAATGGTGGTATTTAGTGAATGAAATATATTTTGTATTTTTCTGTTTTAATTTAGTAAGCTACTTACTCTGTAATGCTGGTACATTTGGATCATTATCATTGGTGTATTCACCATCATAGGACTCTGCACTATCATCACTTTCATCCTCACCACCTGATGAAATTTAAAATCAAAATAACAAACTTTTAACAATGATGTAGAATTCTAGATCAAGATATTATGTAAGATGTATAAAGAAAATTAATTTTAAAATAGAAAAAATAAATCTTACAGATATATCAGTTACCTGAGAGGGTGTTGCCATTATTTGATTTACTAAAACTGTTCACATGCACAGTCTCATGGATGCTTTCCAATTTGACTTTTGGATGCATATTGTTCTGAAAAGATAAAACCAACTGGTAAAATATGGAGGTAAAAACTGACAACAATAATATTACAAGTTCAATAACAATACTTAAAAAAAAGTATGAAAATGTTGTTACCATTTGTGAATCAGCATCTCTGGACTTCTTCTTCTCATAGTAAGGCCCAAGTATTGCCAACGCTCGCTTCTCCAGTTTGGTCAGTGGTCTTATCCCCTTAAGAGAGTTTCCAGCTTTCTTTCTCTTCAGCAACCAAACTTTATTCTTTAACTTATTTTTGAAGTCACTCCAATACTGTAAAACATTTGAATACATTTTTTGAAAACAAAATTTAAACATCTTGTACAGAAATTGAGGTGTTTTATTTTAATTTGATAACTGTTAGTTGCAATATCATTTTATTAACCTTACTCCATCCATCAGTAGTTTTTCTGGTGCCCCCTCGGCAGGAATTAAGTATTTTAGCCAGTTCTTCCCATAGCCTTTTAGATGTGTGTCTTGCTTCAAGAGACCGAAGGCTGCCAGATGCAAACTCTACATGTTGTGCCATGAAGTCTATGATAGACTTAACTTGTTCATATGATACGAGACGAGATTGTGCGTTGTTGTCACTCATCCTTAAGTGGCTAAAACTTAAGAAGCTAACACTATTTTATCGTATTTTTTACTGAGAGAATTTCATCAACTGAAGAGTAATTCATTGATTCAAATAAATAAATATGTTTTGAATGATATCGTATCACGAATTCCGTTTCTCGACCACTTATTGGTACGCAAAACAGATTTTGGAATTCAGATAATTTAAACTTATAGCAGTTTTATTAATTATTTAGTTTTTACATTCCCCTGTTTATGGATTAATTATTTGCAAAGGTTACTTACTGTCAACAGAATCTGCCGACTAGCATACGTAAACTTAACGATACGGGTTGTATTTCTTAGGTTTTTTAATTTTCATTATAATATGCACTTCTGAGAAAAATATCAACAAAAACAAATGATCGTAATAAACTGTCAAAATTCTGTTTACATGACTGATGACGGACTGCTGCGCTGATAATATTTTTTTTTTTCGTTCTGAAATACAATTTTATCTGTAACAAATATTTTTCTACTAACTTATACCATTTCACGTATGTGATTATACGTACTTTTACATGCCATGGTTTTTTGTTTCTTATCTATATTTTTTGTGTTTCAAATCAAATTAGTGGTATGCCTGTTCAAAACTTGGAAAATTATAAACTTTTGTGATGGTCGAGTTTTGTACAAGACATTTATCCATGAGGTCTGAATTTTTAGTACATTAAGTTGCTAGAATGGTGTATGGCAAGCGTACATTTACTTAAAAAACCAGATATGTGAACCCCACCGTTTTTGTATGACCATTACCAAAAATTGAAAAAATAAAATAAAATGATGGCAACAACATTCTTGTCTTGCGCCGCGAGTCTGCGCAGAAAAATAAAAAAAAATATTAGGAAAAGAAATGGCAGTTACTAGAGAGAAAGAAAATTGTTCAAGAAAAATTAATGGAAATATACCCGCATTATCTCTCAATAGTGATAATATGTCGACGTCGACGGACAGTGACGACGTAGCGGATCCTACATATGAAATTAGGAACATTCAAAGCATCATAAACGTAACCCGTGAAAACATTGACGCTCTGAATGCAAAATTTGCTGGTTTCCAGCATCCACCGTCATTGTATTTGTCTGAATACCAGGAGCTAACATCAAAGTTGCATAATTTAGAGTTACGAGAACGAACTTTACGTGAATTGCTACAGTGTGAATCGCCGGACAGAAGTGAGGAGTACTCTTTACAGGATGACAGTAAAAAGTTCGATACTCTTACGCGGCAACCGAAGGTGTTTCTGCGGGCGCACCTGCCCAACCAGCAGCGGACGAGTGTGCAGGTGAAGGAGGGCGTGACGCTGCGGGACGCGCTCTCCAAGGCGCTGAAGCTGCGGAACCTGACTTGTGAGATGTGTGAAGTGGTGCGGACAGGCAATGACCTAGTGATACCGTGGGACATCGACATTACTATGATCGACGCCGAGGAGGTCAGTCCAGTGTAGTTTGATTTGTTTTGGTGATGGTAAGTCTGTGGCACAGCTGCAGCCTGCTGGGTCACATCTCCTGCTCTTGGGCTCCTTGTAGAGTGGCACAACAGGCTTGTGAGGGACTTTAAAAAGATAGGAGCTGGTAGTAGATCAGTCTGCCTGTTGGTGTGCTAAAAAAAAACTATTTAATCACAGAGATATAAGAACCAATTTTATTTTATGATTTTAGTAGTACTCTTGCCAACTGATGCACAGTCACTGTTTTGGTCTTGAAAATGTGCCTATAATGTGGATTAAAAACTTAATGATTTGACTGCACAAGTCTGCTATATTTGAAGTCTTTTGTGTATAAAGAAGTGATTTCTACTTTATTATTGATGTCACCTGTAAGCTGCTTTATCTCATGGAATTAAAGGGTGAAACACTTTTACATCCGTCAATGTAGTGATGGCAGACTTGTCAAATAGTTTGCTTCTTTGAAATTTTTACATTAATTTGGGTTGGTTTGAAGTGTGTAATTTATGAAAAGACTGACCAAAAAAGATCGCATTTGATTCACATCTGATGTTCCTTCAAATAAAAATGTTGAGTTTGTTACATGATTAAAACTTAAAATTTGAAAAAATTTAATCAATGAAAGTGTTCGTTGTTTAATTTCTTGCTTGTTTGACAAAATATACCTAACAGGTAATTAACTTGGTGAAATATTTAAAATCCACTTTACCTGTGGTTGCATTGTATATTGTATACTAGAATTTTGTTTTGCATTTTATTAATATAAAAATTATTTAAAATATTACAGAACTAATGTTTCTAAGTTTATAGCTGTTATAAATCATTTACTAGCTTTTATAGCTAGTGCTAGATTCCCACCTACTACAGAAATTTATTATGTTTAAATACCCTGAACTGTCTGAAGTTGTAAGTGTGGAGAATGAATACTAGTGTCAACAAACCTATTAACAATATTGTATGTCAACAGGTGACAGTACGGACATTGGACAAGCTCCCGATAATGTCCCACATATCGCACCAATTCACTCGGAAGACATTCTTCACACTTGCTTTCTGTGAGTGTTGTAGGCGACTACTGTTCAATGGCTTCTACTGCTCACAGTGCAACTTCAAGTTCCATCAGCGATGTGCTGACAAAGTACCCAGTATCTGTCATCAGGTATTCAAACATTATACATAACTTTATGACAATTATTTTATCTTTATTATACAATATTCTACCATCGCTTTTCCTTAATTCCTTGCACAATGTCCATCATAAATGATAATTTGGCAATGTGCTTCTACTCTACCCATCAGCATTATTATTCAGCACCTGTCCACTTGATTATAACTAACTTTCTCAATTTAGCTGTAGACAACTGTTATAATATATTCATTGTCACATTGTCACATTCTAGTCAAATCAATATGTGGTCAATCAATCAAGCTAATTTGTATGTGAATTACATTCATAATAGTTTTTTTCAGAAAGATGTAGTATTATCATAGCTTTTTGACGACATCGTGAATATCGTCGTAAAATCAGATGTATAGTATCTTATTTTCAACCACAATTTATATCTTAGACGTTTTACTGAATGGGTAGGTGAATGTTAAGGCAGTGCAATTCACATAATGCATATATAAACACTTATAACCAACCCTGTGAAGATATCGAAAATTATAGAAAACTATTCGTAAATCCGGCTTACGACCGTACTGACTAAACCCGCGGGTAGTATTTTATTGTATTGTAACCCTTGTCTTACTCCAGGTGCGTATGACGGACACGTACTACGCAGCGCTGTTGGCACAGAACCCCGAGACGCAGGCTGGCATCCTGCACTTCCCTCCTCACTTTGGATACCACCACATGATCTCCAGATCCGACCAGAGCAAGTCAGTATTACCATCTTCTTAAATAAAGTTTGAGTACACGTGCGCAAATAGCGCTATTTTACGCTAGTGATTCTTACATTTCATGTTTTCGTAATTTGTCTACTTTTTTACCAGTAATATTGTTCCTGTAATCAATATAAAATTATACCTATATCTTTAACTTATACATATATAAGTACAAAGAAGGCAAGATACTAAGCAATATAATGATGTACAGGTCTATCTCTCCAGCAAAGAAAATGAAGGAGTTTGATGTCCACTGGTGAATATATGTCACTAGATTGGCACTGCTTGCTTTTGTGAACGCATTCCAACGCTACACTCACACAGTAACACAAATATTACATACACGATCAGGGTTGGCGCACACCTGATGGCACCAAAATAAATGTATTATTTGACGCCTAATAAAAATAACATGACGTTTTCGTTTTGAATTCGCAAATATCTTGGTTTTAAAAATGATTTTATGTATTCCTTTAACAGGTTTGCAATAATTGTTTAGTTGAGAGTTTTTTTTTAAACATGTTTGGTAATAATAATTGGCGTAACACATTCTGTGCTTTCAGTCACGTTAATGTTTGTAGTATCTCTAACGTTTCCATTGATTCTGGGTATCCCAATAAAAGATAATATCTTTTATCATTTAGCTACAAACATACATAAATATATAATTGATCAGGTATGCACCAACCAACATATACAAACTCCAACAATCTATAATTGTGTGTCTATACCACTCAGTTGTACTTCCCTTCTTCCTAGACTTGCTCTTGTATCTAGTAGGACAAACAACTATCTCTTTGTTAGTTAGTCCATAATTATAGCGCGAAATTGTCAAAAAACAGCAATTAATCAAGTTTTGGTTTATTTTACGGCCAACGGCACGTAAGTTTTTGGTCATGACCAAAAAGTTACATGGTGTAGCCGTAATACATAATTTAGTTATTATCTCACAAGAGTTACAATTCAAAATATATGTTAGAATGCGTTGCTAAGTTGGTGCTTTTGTATATAGGCTGTTTAGTGTCTTTTATGCCTTTCAAACAGATACCTATCTTGAAATCAATAGTAAAATGATAGCTGTTAATTAATATTATCATGTGTGTTGTTTGTAATGCGTTGTCTGTTTATTAAAGAAGACCATACCTTAATAACCTAATAACTCTATCAAAATCCCATGTATTATACAAAGCTTTATATTTAAGTACTTGTTAATATGTACCCAAGCTATTCCACCACAATGTAAATACTCCCTACAGAGCACTTACCACCTAATTTCATGAACATAAGGTTTATAATAATTGTTTGTCCAGGCACCAGCATCCACGCTCACTGAACCAGCAGGACAGGTCTAATTCTGCTCCAAATGTCTGCATAAACATGGTACAGAGACCTATGACCCTCGCAGAACACCAGAGGAAGCATAATCAGGTATGATTAATTCTATACTTTAAATAGCGCCCGCCTGCGGCTTCACATGCGTATAAAAATAATGTACCCTGGGATTAAATTAACAGCAATGTTTAAATCGATAGCTCGTCTAAAGCGCTCAGGAACATTGTATCTATCTATCAGTGAAAGAATTTTGGAAATCCGACCAGAGGTTCTAAAGGTTTCCCCCTACATATAATCTTACAAGCTCTTTTTTACGCAATGTAATACTTACAGATATACGAATATTTTATATCTATAGGTATGTTTTATCTATACTAATATTATAAAGCTGTAGAGTTTGTTTGCACGCGCTTATCTCAGAAACTACTGGTTCGAATTTTTGTAAAACACAGGGTGAACCGCGCGCTGGTATTTAAATAAAACTTAATATTTTTTTTTAATTATATTTGGGTATTCTTTGTTAGGTTCTACTAATTCCCACAAGAGTCTACTTATAAATAGTCAAGTAGAGTTTGAGACTAAATTTATATCAGGTATTAATAATTTCTAAATAAATAACCAGTTTTTAATATTCTACTTAGAAATAAAACCTGACATCATAATCCCGTAGTTTTCAATACTTTTATTGAAATGTCTGTACTTTCATTCAAAGTTTTAGCGTATACTTAATTTTAGATTTTAATAGTTCAGAAATAAATTAACTAAAAATCGCGGGTTACTGACTTGTATAAATTGAGAAAAGCTCTATTAGTTTCGAACCACAGAGGGGTTCTTCCTCATGAGCAGCGTGCGCGAACGGACAAAATTAAGTATACCGCTAAAACTATGAATAAAAGTACTTACAATTGAAATGTCTACGTTAGTTTCCAACTAGTCAAATTCAATACTTTTATCCAAATGTCAAAAACGATACTTTTCTATGAAATTTGTATGAAAGTGCAAGTTATGACGTCATAGTATTTTAACGTCAAATAGCTTACTTATTTCTGTAAAATTAGCAAAAAAAAAATGGAAATTTTACTGTGTTGACAGATCGATTAATAAAAGTATTGTTATTTTTTCAATATTTTATTGCATAGAAATGTCGAATTAATTATTTTTCGACCTAGGAAACTATCCAATTACTTTTACTGTGTAGTTGGTTAGTAATACCATGAAAAATAAAATATACTATTAAATCAAAAGTATGTATTGAATTTCTTTCACTCGTAATATTCACAATCACAATAAAGACGATTAATGCGTAGAAATTTGTACGCAATTGCGCGTGAAGCGAATGTCTGCATTGGTTAAGTGTATCATCAATATCTGACAGTGTTTCGTCGTATGTCCGTTTGTTTATCGTGCTTTTCTGGGTTTAGAAAAGATGTGATGACAGAATTATTCGTCTATTATTTCAAAGTATCATAACCGGTAACAAAACGCAATAGAGATCCCATATACGCATTCAATGTTTCATAACTATTTAAAATTGTATGGTGGATTCTGTACAATATCCTTTTGTATTCACAAATAAATGATTTGATTTGATTTGTGATTTATGAAACTGGTAAATCATAGGCCTCTTCTGTTATTTAGTGGGTTTTCTATAATTACTATATTTTTTTCTGCATGTATTTCAATATGCACATAAGCAGAAAGAACAAAATAAGTATTTTTCTGATTTCAGAGATAGGCGGTAAAATTAGTCACTTGTAATATTTTTTTTTACATGTCAAAAACATCAATTTTCTTTATATTTTGTATGACATAGTAACTTGTGAGTCATACAATTTTTGTCTCAAATAAAATAAGTACATTTTTTCCTAAATTAGCTAGAAGAAAATACGAAGACTAAGCGTAACTTTGAATCAATTCTTTTAAGTGTTTATAGTTTTGAAGAGTTGAAATAAAACTACTCAACTCTCATTCATAAAATAAAATCAGTCTATAATAATTATGTTGTCTACCAGGGTAACAACAATTCGCCGCAGTCCTCGAACTACCTAACTTCAGGCAGACACAAACAGGATGACAAGGACAAGGCTGGAGACCAGCAGCACAGCCAGAGTACACAGGTCTGTAAAACCATTACTATGTAACAGTTTCCCACAGCTTTTAACGCTTGGCTCAAAAAACTCCGATGATAATGTTGCATTTGTATTAAACCATTATTACCCATTAATCTTCATCGTCATCATCATCATCAGCCCATAAGTACCCACTACTGAGCAAAGGCTTCTTCTCACGCAGAGAAGGATTGAGCATTAATCACCACCACGCTTGCTCAATGCGGGTTGGCGATTTCAACCTTATAATTAGGAATTATAAGTCCAGGTTTCCTCACGATGTACTTTTACCGTATGTCAGTGGTATCTAAATAATTGTAGAAAGTACATGTAACTCGGAAAAAGTCACATTGGTACTTGCCGGGTTTCGAACCCACACCCTCACAGCATGAGAAGCGGCCTCCTTAACTTCTGGGCCACCTTGACATTAATCTTACTAAGCAACAAATCGTAAGCCGTCCGACAAGGGCTTGGGCCCAACAGAGCGTTCAACCCGGGGTCAAGCGCAATAATGCACCACGGCCTCGGTCTGGACCAGGAAAAGGAACAGAGGGTGGTTTGTACTGCATAACATTCTCAAAAAAAAAAAAATGGTAATTTATACCTTGTATTTTATCATCTCTGCACCTCATACTATTCTTCCTACAGATTTCCCCAAAATTTAGGTAATGTATCCAACATAACCAAGTCTTGCTTGCTAAGCTGTAATACTTCAATCATCATAATAATATGTGTTGTCCGCAGGCATCTCCGACGGGTACGCTAAGGCCGCGACGTGCGCGGGCGCGCTCTGCGGACGAGTCGTGGAAGAACGCGCTGTCACCGCGAGAGAGCTACGATGACTGGGTCATACATGCCGACGAAATACTCATTGGGGCCAGGATAGGTAAGCTTAAAACATAATATAATCACACCATCGACAATCAAAAATATGTGGGATTTATTAAAAAAGGAGAAAAATTATGATACCTGCATTTTTTGATTTTCTCACAGAAATGTCATGTTCTTGCAACTGGCAAAATTTCAGACTTAAAACTAGCTACTTCCGCGCCGTTGTACCGCTGCTCGGGCTTTAGTGGTCGTAGGGTGATGTTATAAAGCATTCCTCGAAAAACTAAACAAAACAAAAAAAAAAAAATCAATTTAAACCAATAGTGCCGAAGAAGTGCTAATCTCACTATCGCTACCTCTCCAAAAATGTCTTGTTAATTTATTTACTAATTATTTGTGCAGGGTCTGGCAGTTTCGGAACGGTGTACAAGGCCCATTGGCATGGACCTGTGGCTGTGAAGACTCTCAACGTGAAGACACCCACACCCGCTCAGCTCCAGGCCTTCAAGAATGAGGTACTTACAGTCTTAACTGTCTATAACATATCTGTATTAAACTGATGAGCATTTTTAGAAAAAAAAAAAGATATAACTATATCTTATTATAGAAAGCGCGTTACCCAATAATTCATGAAAGTTTTGCAAAACATAAGACTGAGGAACTAGCAAACCATGAAATGTAAATAGTGTAAAATAATAATTTGAGTCTTCATATTCATGGAACATTTTGGGTTGGAGTGTAGCAAAGGGTGTGCAAGGTTTTTGGGACTTTCTGAAAATGCCTAGTTTTTAATTTCCATCGTATAGAATACCTAAGTAAGGCGAAAACCACCTGGGCACTTTTTGCCTAGGACCAACGGTTTGGCTGAAAATGAGCACTGAAGGTCATTCTTCAAATTAGTCTCACACAACTAAACAAATTTTGCGAGGCGGCGACTCGCGATTATTTTATTTACACCATGTACCAGTGTACCAGTACATATTATATAGCGTATTTACAAAAACTAAATCCATAATTTGTAGGTGGCAGTACTCCGCAAGACACGGCACTGCAACATCCTGCTGTTCATGGGCTGCGTGTCGAAGCCGTCGCTGGCGATAGTGACGCAGTGGTGCGAGGGCTCCTCGCTGTACCAGCACCTGCACGTCATCGAGACTCCCTTCCCGCTGCTCTACCTCATCGACGTGGCGCGACAGACGGCGCAGGGCATGGACTACTTGCATGCTAAGAATATTATACATAGGTAACTTTTCTAGTGCATATCAGCTATTTCATTTTAGTAAATTCTTTATGAAATTGAATAGGTAGTGTAGCCTCGTAATGATATTGTTTATAGTTTATTTTTTGTCCGTCATTTGTAGTTACAAATTTAATTATATTATCGCTCGTCATTTCTTTTTAATGTCAAAGTTTGATATTCTTTTACATAATCACATCATAAATGTTTCAGGGACCTGAAATCAAACAACATATTCTTGAGAGATGACTGGTCTGTTAAGATTGGAGATTTCGGTCTAGCTACGGCCAAGGTGCGGTGGTCTGGTGAGTACCATTTGTTCTATGTATCAGTTCTATACTGTTCTGTAAAAAATCACATCTACAAGTAAAAATTTTGTTTTAAAATTTTAAGTGATCATGGTCTCAAAACAGACTGAAATATTTATAAAAAATAATACATGCTTTGAAATGAGCCCATAGCTTCACTATTGAAATAAAACATGATTTGAGTTGTAAAATGGTATGGTATTCCAGACACATCTACAGCGGGCGGTATCCAGTGGCAGCAGCCAACGGGCTCGATCCTGTGGATGGCCCCCGAGGTCATCCGCATGGAGGAGCCCGCGCCATACACCTTCCGCTCCGACGTGTACGCGTACGGGATCGTACTCTACGAACTTATGGCTGGGGAACTACCTTACGCGCATCTCAATAATAAAGATCAGGTAGAAACTTAAAATATTTTCCTTCCTAAATTTTAGGTGACTACTTCTTACTGTTCTCATTTTATTTTTATAACCTTTTGTACTTATTCAATTGCGACTATATTCTGATTCTGTCCCTGCTCAGATTCTCTGGATGGTCGGGCGAGGTTTCCTGCGACCTGACGCTCGCCGAGTGCGCCAGGACGCACCGCAGGCCTTGAAGCGTCTGTTCGAGGACTGCATCAAGTTCGACAGAGAGCAGCGTCCTCTCTTTCGTCAAATTCTGGCCTCGCTAGAGTCCATGCTGCGCGCCATGCCTAAGATCACGCGCAGTGCGTCCGAACCGAACCTCAACAGACAACTGCACGCGTCTGACGACTACCTCAGCTATAGCTGCGCTTCGCCTAAAACGCCAGTCAACTTCCAGTTCAACACCGATACCAGTTTCCCGGCGTTTTACGGGTACGTGCAATGTGCCGATATTTCGTTAACTGTTATTCATTTATTGTGATCAAATATAATGTAGTTTATAACAATACTCATGTCTTGTTACAGCATCCCAGTGCCCAACCAGCGGCACCCGTAGGGGTTGCTGAAGGGCTACGACTAACCTCGCAGCGCTAGCGGCGCAACCTCCAGGGATGGCGCCGCTTGCGCTGCGTAGCTGCCCCGCGCGCGTACTGTAGTCCCCGAGAGTTGGTTAGCACTAGCCTTGGTCTGTATCACACTCCACCTAGTCTCAGGCACGCAACTCGCGTTCTCGGTGCAGTGCATCACAGGCGTGTTCTCAATCAGGCATTAGTCAGATCTTTCGAAGGAAATATCTTGACTAGTCTACTGGCGGACTGCAGTGTTATAGCGGCCTTAGCTAGAATATCGAACTGTATTGAAAACCAATTCGTGTATAGTTAAATTTCAGTGTAAAATGTGATAATGCCGGAGGACAAATGTGAGACAGTATTTTATGTGTGGCTTACGACATAGTTTCTATCGGGGAGTTGTGATGGCTGTCTGGAGAGCGCAAGATATGAGCTTCAACCGCGATGCTGTTCAACAGTTGGTTTAACTTAGTCAAAAATCAGCTGGGACTTTGAACAAGCCGATATAATTGCGACGCTATGACCACTGGATCTGTACTAAAATCAATATTGTTTGTGTGTCGACGACTTAGTGAAGTATATTTAGCAGTATGTAGTCTTTTTTATTTATCTATCAGCGATTACCCTCCTATTGGAAGTTAATCTATTCTTCTTTAACTTCAATGTTTTCTGCAGAACAGCCATCTTCCTTTATTAACCGGTTTCCAAAAGGAACAAGTAACATTATGACTTGATCCTATCTCCTTATATCCAATTTATTTATTATACGCGACAAAATATTGAGGACTCTGTTTATGACATCAATTTGAAATATTTCATACTCAAAAATGTATCACATTCACAATATGATTTTGGTGATCAAGTTGGTTGTAGCAGTCAGTCGGAATAAGGTTCTACTGTCGATATGTTCACGATCTCGGAATGTATTTATCATTATTTATTGTATAACTTATTGAAAATTATTTATTATTGTTTCCATCCAAGAGTTAACGCGATCTAAAAATTGCACAAGTCGCTCGAATCGTGACTCGTTCTTAGAAAATATTCGTTTCAAAGTTATTGGTTTCTCTCCTACACAATAGTACCGATTGTGTCTCATAATTGTACATGATAGATGTAAGTAAATCATCGCAAATTAACCAATTCTAAAGAAAATGAAATTTTATAAAACTCGCCTTTATCGTAGACTACTTATAAATATTTGCATCTGAGCGAGAGTGAGCGGTATTTACTAGCATATAAGGACGATAATATCTTGATGTTCTTAAACAGTCTTATGAAACCGTACATTGCATCCATGAACATGTTTGACATCAAAACAAGTTGCTATGCAATAAAATAACATTTACGTATTTGACTGGACCTGCCCTAGGCAATATTAACCGTTATTTAGTATATTACATTAATACCTAGTTGCCGCGCAAGCGACGCAGGCGCACCGGTCAAAATGGACGTTATTTTTCTGATATAAATGAAATATTTTTGTATTATCTCAATACATCATTAAGTGATAGTAATAATGTATGTTTTAAAAGTATTATTTGTACGATATAGTTGTAACCGAGTCGTGTTGAGACATAAATATAATTTATTCGTAATTATTGTAAATATCTAATTGTAACAAAGACCATAGTCTAATGTCGGAACATTAAGAATCTTGTGTATACAGTATAATTAATTTTAACGCATAACTATTAACTCTAAGAACACAATAAATTATTGTTTCAAATTATTCATTTGTATTTTTACCATGGAACTTAATATCCCGAGAAAATGTTATATCAGCAAAAAAAACTACTCACCAACGTTTTACTACACTTGCGCTAAGAGAATCAATCCCTTCTTAAATTATTCACACATTAATTTAGATGAAGCTGACGAATTATCTTACAATTTAACATACTATTTTCCCCGAACCGCTGTTGTTACGTTACTGAGTTTGTACCGGTAACCTCGGAAAGAAAGATGATAGTGCAATTACATGTAATATGTATGTATGTAGCAAGTGTTTTCTATAATAATTATACAAAATAAATTATGATTCAGCAAGCGTAGATACGGTTTCATAATTTCGCAACTCATACATAAGTTTCCGTGGTGTAGCGGTTATCACATCTGCCTAACACGCAGAAGGTCCCCGGTTCGATCCCGGGCGGAAACATAGTTTTTGTACTTTTGAATATTTTTAAAATAGATTTTTTTACACATCAAATTCTTGAGTTGCTATTTCTTTTTGAGTAGGTAAATCATCATATTACTTCGTTCCCCTGCCCCTTCGCCCTGGACGGAGCGAGAGCGAGTTTCTAACTAAAATCCACCCGGTTCCCTCTCTGTCTCGTCTCGAAGCCGAGGTCGCGGTAACTTAGGTATTGCACTAGACACGCAACTTTGCCCATATTTTTACCTTATTTAGTACTTAACATCGTATGTTTTTTTAAGTCTCTCAGGAAGAATTGAATGGAGGTATGCGTTGAATGAAAAACATATTAAAATTCAACGAATCGGTTCACGATATTCGTCACTCAAAACTTTTATTTTCATACATCTTACATTGTTGTTACTTCATGACTCCCGTACTGCAGCCCTTTCAACATAATATATACAAACAATTTAAAAAATATTACATTAGATATAGTCACAAAATACATAAAGAGGGCGCACGGAATCAATTTATAATAATTCAACAAAAATGCTATAACAGTATATGCTGGGAATATAGTCCTTATTGTTTTACATTGTATTGTAACAAATAAACGCGTGCTAACATTTCAGTCATTGACTGAATTTTAAACTCTATAATAACATCAATAATATTGATACTAAAACATGTATAGAGAGTAAAATATTTAATTGAATATAGAAACCTTAATATTACTTTTTTAAAGTGTTACGCCTGAATACTGTAATGCCACTTAATTTTAAGTTGTTTATTTCGGCTATCACCGTGGTTTTTTATAGTTGAGAACTCTGTCTGGCTGTCTTGTGAAATCTGTCTTTATCCAACGATATGTCCGATTGGTGCTAGCTCGCCATGCAATCAGGAGCCTCGCTCCTCAAGATCTTAAAATTTAGTAGCACTTGAGCATTCGAGATTATCAAAATGTATAAAATTTATACTATTTCGTACAAAAAGTTGTATCATTAATAAACTACGTTTACTCTGAAAAACTGCTTCAGAGTAATTCACGAGAATTCAATTTCATACAAATCAGAACACTATCTTCAAATCACATATCTGGCTGTTTTCTTTATAAAAAGCTACACATTTAACTTCCAATTTCTGAAATTAATAAATTGTAAAGACCTAATACTTTCTTGTTTAGTGGATATTAAGACAACGGCAGTGTCATAGAATTATTGAAATGCCATACAAATGTCGCATTTTTGGCTTTTTGACTTAACTCTACTGGAAATATTATGATCTAATCGTTAGAATCCTCGCTGTCTGCATCAGCGGCGCTATCTCCTTCATTCTTGTCTTTCTTCGGTTTCTTGGCACGAATCTTGAATTCGGACAAGTGAATTTTCTTTCCGCCTATCTTGGCATCACCAGCTGACTTGATTGCGCGCTCCACAGCTGCCGGTCCATCGAATTCAACAAACGCTGTTGCTGTAAATAGTGAACATTTTAGTTTATTATCAGTCCTAGTCTTATTAGGCTGCTCCTTTGAGTTCATAGCTCAGCAAGGAGTTTGACACTCAATTAGCAAATTGGCTAAGAAACTATAACATTTTTGATAATACAGATATGGAGCTTCTTTAATGTAGACCAGAGGCAGATTAACCCCGGTGAGCGCCTTATTAGGCACTCCTATATTTTTCGTACGAGATCTGCTTCTGCACTAACTTGTGGCACACGCCTCGGGTCCCCTAAGACACCCCTGCGCTCTCTATATATAGCGATGGCTGGTATTTTAATAATATGTCAAAGTCACAACATTTATCTTCAATAAAATTAATTCTCATGCTTGATACCCTCAATAAAATAAAAAATACTATACATACCCATACTCTTCTTTCCCTTGACCAAATGTCGTATGCTCCTGATTCTGCCAATGCCAACAAAGGTGGTACATATCGCCTGGTCAGTGAGTTCTGCATACGACCTGACAACAACTGTTGTCTGTGTTGCGGGGAGTGGCCGCTTCACTTGGATGCGGCTGCCTTCCAAATATGAGTTATTTTCTTCAAGTGCCTGATAATTAAAACAAAACTTGAGATACGTTTTTTTATCAGGGTTAACAAATTTCGCATTTAGTAGTTTTATAAAATTTAAGCTATTTGCTGACTAGACACACACACAACAGAATTGACCTTGGACATATGAGACAATCGAATAACATTAAAACAATTACCAACTATGAAGTTGGTTATCTGATTGTTCAAGATCTTACCTGTTCAGCACTTGAGCTGTTTTGGAAACCTATTGTGGTGGTGAAGACAGGCCTTGACTCTTCTGTGGGGTACACCTCTGCAATGCTGCAAGAAAAAATTGAAATTAGATGAAGCTGACTAGGCATAACTCATAAATTTATTTTATTTAAAAATTATTAGTAATATCTCACCCGATTTTTTTAATAGGTCCATGTTTATTGAAATGTTCAGCTAGCATTTTCTTATAATTTAGCATTAAAGATAACGGCAGGTTCTCCACAATCAATGTGTTGGACAAGGTCTCCTCATTAACTTCTCCTTTCTTGTCCTTGTTCCATTTCCTTTTCTTCCATTTTATTTTCTCCTTTACTTCCTCAGGGTTTTCTGTAGCCTCTTTCTTAGAGCTCTGAGCACCTTTTGACTTCTTGTTCTTGTTGAATTTTTTCCTCAATAATTTACGCTTGTCTTTGTCCACCACAGTCATTTCATCCAACAGGTTTGACAGTGTATGAGCATTGTCTCCAATGCTCAGGTTCTCTAAGTCCTCAGCAATGTCAGGGTTACCATCTTTCTTACGGGACTTAGGTGATGGCTCTCCCTCTGCCTGTGTTGTTTCAGTTGGAGGAGACTTAGTTTTTGTCTTTTTACCTTTCTTTGTTTTGACATCAGTAGACATTTCGTTGTTGTGAACTTCTATATCTGATTGTTGTGAATTTTGTTTCTTTGTTTTTTTAACTTTCTTCTTTTCTTTACTTTCGTCAGTAACATTCTTAATATCTCCAGGTTGAGACACATCAAGCAATTTTTGAGCTTTATTTAACTTACTTGATTTTTTTTCAAATGAATCTTTTCCATTTTCTACATCCATATTCTGATTGTTAACTTCAGCAGCTTTGTTCTCTTTCTCAGATTGTTGGTGTTTTTTTAATTTTTTGACATTCTTGTTACTTTTTTTTACAACGGTAGCATTGGACTCAAGTTGTTGATTTATTTTTGTGTCGTCAGACTTAGTTCTCTTTATTACCACTTCTTCATGATCATCTAACATAAAGCTGACAGATTTGTTTCTCTTCTTGGGCTTCCCATTGGATACCTGGGATCGGGCACTATCTACAGACTGTTCAACAGGGGCTTTGTTCTTCATGATAGACTTTACTTTCCCACCTTGGTCCTGAGTTTTACCATTAGAATTAGGAGTGGAAGTTTTGATGTCGTGAGAAGGACTGGCTCGAGGAAAGCTTAAAGTGGAGCCATCGATGTTGATCTGCGAGATATCTATCGGCTCCTGCTTGTTCCGTTTTTTATTTTTAATCGGTGTTTCTGTCTTCAACTTGGCCGTTTTCGGTTTTGTACTTTCTTTATTCACAACTCCATCAGGTTTAGGTTTCTCGCCAAGTTTATTAGATTCAATCGATTGATAAAAGCCAGCAAAATCAGCAGTTCTGTCCAGTGTTCTATTTTCAGTGGAATTTACTTTTAAATCAAATGACTTGGATTTCATTTTTAAACGTAACAAGTCTTTTTTAACTTAAAAAAGGAAAATAAATGTTTTAAAAACACATGATAACTCGGACGTACTGCTGCGAATATTTAGAGGTTATGTTTTGCACTTTAGCAGCTGTCTACCAGATACATTGACATAGGAAATATTTTCTATCTCAATGACCAGATACCACTGCTGCCATCTGCCCTGCAAAATTATAAATAAAATAATATTGTAACATGGAATAAAATTATTAGGAATATTTAGGTTTTGTGGGCAATTTAATCTTAATATATAAAAATCTTTTGCAAAATATGTTTGTAAGCGCGTAACGAGAATGCCTGAACCAGTTTTCCAAGTCTTTTTTTGTTATTCTTTCCTTTCACGGGACCACAGGGTCACGGACCTTTGGAAGGCGCACGAGGAGCCGAAGCCAGCTCGCAGAGGCCAGTTGAACAATTTTAATCTAAATGTGATGGGACACAGCTGGCTATTATCCCTGTATGCACCATAAAAGTGCACCCAAGGACGTCCCCGGTTGATGGAGGACTATTGTGAAATGTGGTAAAAATTTATAGGCTTATGGGTATGGGTTGCTATGCACTAGTGGATGAAAACTATGGAAATACTATGGCCCCTGCCCCTGACCAATATGGATACATACGGATAAACGGGCAGGGGGTGACTGGTAAACTCAATTAATGGGCCCCCGGAAACGGCCGCTAGCATGTAGCGACACGGGGGCAACATACGTTGAGCTGCTTGGGGAAGGAGAGGCATTAAATGGCTATCAGAGCAATCCCGGAAGTACGGTCCTTCCCCCGAGTCTCCTTCAACTCCTTCTCTTGCGAATCTCCTCTCAAGCCAGCCAATTAAGGCAAGAATGAGGTGGGAGGGGTTCTTCTTCATCAGTGTTCACTCCAGCTCGTCACGAGGACTAACCGGAGGTGACAAACAAGACAACTCCCGGGAGTCAGGTCCGTGGGGTCGCCACTGCCCAACAGCTCGCCACAAGCTGCCTTGCGGATTTTTTGTTATTTATTTGTTATATATTATTATATAATACTTTATTTTATACATTATTAAAAAAAATATCAAAGAGCAGGCTTACAACCACATTGTGTATATTGCGTGGTCTTATCACTGGTGGTCTTATCATCTTTTCCAGACAACCTTTGTTGTATTTATTATTGAAAGTTCTTATGAAATAAAATTTTAGAAAAGTCGGCGGGTAAATTGGGGTCGTTGGACCCGTGCGAAGTGGGGCAGGCCCTTTAATTTTATAGGTATGAATTTTATTGTCGTTCTAATGATACTACTTCTACGTACCTAATAAAAAAAATCGGATACACCTCTTAGGGTTCTAGAACCAAAATTTTTGATATGGCAACACTGGTAACCTCACTTTTTAAAATCTATTTAATGGCGGATGCGCTTGCGTGATGCCGGTTTCGTGTTATTATTGCATATAGTTTGGCGTCTTTTCCTTGTGGAATTGTGATATCATTGATTTTACTTGTTAATACACGATTGGTGAGTAAAACTTTCAATTATATTATAATGCATTCCTCTATGATTGCAAAATACCATAGTAACAAGTTATTACGAGGTAACGCTTCGGGTTCGTGAATTTTCCACTCGAATTAGAGGCATGCTTCATGGCGCGTATGGCTTGTTATGATGTATTTACCGTTATCTGTGATGTTACACATAGTTAAAATTAGCTCATCTTCTAAACAGGCGTATGTTTTCTGTGATTCTGCGTAATATGATGTTTCGCGCGTTAGCAACTACGCCCTTGAGATCTGAGAATAGGCGCCAAGTATTGTAGATAAGTTTTAGCAAAAAATAGATATGGCGGGAAACGTTGCTACTGTGAGAGCGTGACGGATCTTACGCCTGATTGTTTGAGTGGGTTCTTGTGTGATCAACAGCTGGAGAGTCACGATGGTAGCCCAGAAGAAAGGTCGTGGTGCTAAAAACCAAGCAGCGAAGGCTAAGGCCGCCGCCCAAGCTGTAGAAGAACCTGCGCCCGAGATGGAGACCTCCGAGCCTGTGGAGGCGGAGGACAACAATGGCGAAGCCGAACAAATCGAGCACAGCGAGGATGGTGCCGGCGACACCAGCGTCGCCGAGGGCAGCGGAGACGCCGACCAGAGTCAGGAGAATGCCGAAGGCGATGCCTCCGGCGATGATAAGAAAGAGGAAAAAGTGGAGTCTGGTAAAATACTTGTTGAGAACCTCCCCTCGACGTACCTGTTCGACTACCAGGAGAAACTCAAGGAGTTGTTCTCAAAACATGGAGAAGTTACCAATGTCAAGTAAGTATACAAGGTCCACTATATCTGCTGTGTTACTGAGACAAACTACTTGCCAACATTCAAATATCAGTCCTTGAAATGTCCTAAACTGTGGATGAATCACTATTTGTATTTTTAATTGAAGTTGAATTAGTATACCTAAGATAATTGTGTGTTGTGTTCTTGAGGAGCAAGCTGCACTCAGAACACAGGAACACGGGCTCTACTGTACGGAGTATTAATGAGACAAATTTTCTTTCTTTTTAGACGTGGTCCAATCATTGTAACTGAACTGACCACAACTCCGACATTATCGGCAATAGTCGAATTCAAAAACAAAGAGTCTCTGGAAAAGGTAAACAAAAGTTTATTAACATTTTATATTTTATATTGAAAAGTGATAAGTAGATTTTAGAATTTTATTAGCCTGCTTCTAAAAGAGGCTGTATTTATGGCTAAGACTATTTTTTCCAAATTATGTATATTACACAGAATTGTTGCCACTTTCCTCAAGTCATGTGCAGAATGAGTGACTATTTGAATGTTAGAACAGGCTGGTCTGCTACACTATATGCATCTGATTGGCAGCTTTTTACTGTTAACAAAGTAAACATCTAAATTATGATTGAAATGTGATGTGATGTAGTAGATCAGCTGATGAATATCTCTTGTCCATATTGTGACTTGTCCTTATGTGTACTTGCAGTGGCAGCTGGTAAGTTGCAGGTCTTGTGCAGTGGGCTTCATTCAGTGTCTCGTGTTTCATGTGTGCTGCGCTATTGTTGCACAGGTGACTGTCTTGTTCCAATCTGTTATTCATAAATAACTATCCCATTGTAAAGTTGTATTAATTTATGAATGAATTTTACTAAGTAGTAGTTTACTGAGAGTATTGAATGAATGAAACCCACTGCACAGCCTGGTTGGTAAGTAGAACTCCAGATGTATTTCGCAGCAGTATGTGCTAAATGTAATGTATATGTCCATAACGAGAAGCCGCGCCGAACGCGCGAACTGACAGACTAAACATTGGGCTATAGCTGACGCGGTTACCATGCCGACTCCTGGCGCCGCCATTGTTTGGTTCTGGCGTACACTTGTAACGCAAAAAATACGAACTAATATGATTTTCACATGTAAATATTACAAATTACAAATGGAACTTTTCCGAATTTTAAATTATATTTTTTACGCCTAACATTCAATTCACTCATTTTGATTCGTGTTTACCTCGCGTTGTTTTCTAGCAGTTATCGGACACCCATGGTTATTCATTAATGTCGAAATTAGGCCAAATGAACAAGATGTGCTTAATTTCTTTAGTAGAACAAGTGACATACAAATGTTTATTTTAACGTGATTACGGACGCGTGACCCAAAACGAAGGTCGCGATATCCTTGGAGAATTCCTCTCAATAATGTGGTGTATGTTAGTTTGTCCGTTAGTCGGCCACGCAGACCGAAGATCGTTTATGCGATTCTATCTTTACTCATCGTAATTGCGGCTAGAGCCGTGCATTGTGTTACATGCCTGATGCCAGTACTTGTGTTTAATAGCTTATAAACTATCAATAGAGCACTGATCTACTTCAGGTTCCATAAAATTATGTCGCTAAAACCATTTCGTAAGAATTACTAATATAATTCGGATGTTTTAAAATTACCAAAGGAGAGGTCTTGAACTGAAACGCAAGCAATAATCTCTTCCTGTTTTGTAAAGTCAATGTTTTTTAACTACACACAAACTCCTATAAATCCTCAAAATAGACCTTACAAATACACTGAATGCGTACGTTTGGAAGCATATTGAGTGTTTGGTAAAACGCAGGCGTTGTCCGAGGAGGGCACCGTGCTAGAAGGCAGCAGGATCACCGTGTCGGTGGAGTCCCGCGCCGAGACCGCTGTGCTGGTGGGCGTGCCCTACGAGGCCAGCACCGAGTACGTCAAGCTGCTGTTCTCGCAGTGCGGCGAGGTCACCCACATACACGAGTTCAGCAAGACCAAGTACAAAATTCGTAAGTTCCTTTAATATTTGTTTCATCTATCTTATGTTTTACCATACATGGTTAAATTAACTAAAATAATTATTTATTGGGAACATAGAAAATTTATTTGATATATCATTTGGATAATACATATAATGATTCCGCTTAAATAGGATAAAGTAACCCAGTTAATTAGGTTCAGAATATTGTAACACGCACAAAATCGAAGCTGTGATCGGGGGTGCGCTAGTAACATCTATCTAATGTTCGCTTGAACAATGCGCTTTGGGGTAACGACCCCTCCCGTACAATATATACGGCATCCGCATTAGCGGCAACAGAAGGGGAGAGTAACGGAAGGGTGCCGCGGTGGCCACGCGGGAGAAAAAATATTGATTACTTTGCTACCCGCTCTCGGATCACGCACAATCGTTGAATAGCGACTGCACAATTCAACTTGCCACTTTCTTGGCACCTGTTTATATTTCTTAACAACATATACAAAAGGTAGCCCCGTCAAAGTAAGATTACAAGTGTACGTCCTTTTGACAAGTGTTCATTGTACAAGCCCGTGGCCCCTTCACAGTAAGGAGGGTTGCCCCCTAACCACTTGTGTTCACGGCGCTCACCGCTCAAGACGTACTACGTAGTATATAGGCCATTTATTGAGTTTTCTTTTAGGCTTAGAGCAAATGGAGAATCGTATATAGCTCATTTATTGATTTATTACACGATCAGTACCCACGGTTAGAGTCGAATATGTAAATGAATACGCGTGCTAGAGGGGTAGCTCCCCATGCGAGGGGAGATGATATTAACGCTACATACAGTCTTATCGCCCGCTCACGTCCGTCAGTCTTGCTACAACTGTAGTTTATACAATCACAATAAACGTAATTAACACTTGTTTCTCTAAAATAGATAACATTTGAGTTAGAACATGTTTAAGGAGTAACTATGATATAAATAACGATACCACTATCATCTAATTCCGAATAATGAATTTATAAAGGGTGATGTAAGGTGTAAAGTTTACTGACCACTATGGGTTTACGATAGTTTTCAAGGTCTGCCGGCTAAGTACAGAATGATACTTGTGTAAGTCACGTAATGCCAGAGTAGAAGCAGAGCCGTGGCCACTAAACTTTGTTGTTATGCGAATCTTTGTAAGACAATTAAAGATTAAAGATTCAGAGTTCAATGACCGGAAGCACCCGGTACATTGTTTCCTTGTGTTTATGAGAACGTAGTTTTCCGTGATAGAAACCCTGTTCGCGTTTCTAATTTGTGTGAATCTGGCTTGTGTAGTATCGACGTAAGGTTATAAATGGACGTAGAGATTGACGCGCCAGCTATCTTACTGACTGTACGTATATACATAGGTATACGAATGTTGTTAGCATCTCCCCGGTCCCCACGTCTGCGCGATCGGGGACCATCGAGGGGCGTGAGCTGTGTTGGGATGTTTGTTCATCTGACGATCTATTCGTACCGATGTAATAATAATAAGATTCTATGATGACGCCAGCTTCGGACAGCGTAAGTATTGATTGGCAGATCGGACATTCGTCATTCAGGTTCGATCACGCGAGTGCTCTTGTAGCCGCCCGTCGTGTGTAGTGTAGTTTTACGTTTCTAAAAGATAATTAAATCAGATGTAAAGCGAATTTATTGAATGATTGATTTAATTGGCCCATGTTTTTCGATATAGTACTTGTAACCTACCTACAGAAGTTGTATTCTTGATTAACGATAGTGAAATACTCATACAAAATTGAGATAATGATTACGATATTACTACGTTTGCGATAAACATTTGCTACTTATTGAAATTCATTTGTAGAAAAAATAGAGCATGATTATCTTAGTACATTTTTTTTTGCTGTCGGTCGGGGTAGAAAATTTCCCGCTCGCGTCGTTATAAGGTTAGGTTAAGTACGAGAAAAGGCCACGTGACGTAAGCGCGAGTAGCAGGTGGCCGTACTCGATGCGCGGTCAAAGAACGAAACGGTTTAATAAGCCGTCAAACTACTTTTTTACACACAAATACATGGTGTGAGTTAATTCTCACGCGTATTTGCCATAATAGGGATAAATGGGTGTAATGGGCGAAAGAAATGTGCCAATAAGCCTACGTCTTTGACATTTTCTATGTCCATTAATATTTTGCATGTCTTGCTGGCTATGACTAATTTTCCTATTGCCCTTTATAAGACGTCGCCAATCTGTCGGTTAGTGACGTGCGTCCATCTAATAGGTCGTCACACTTGTTTGATATACATCTTTTATTTTATCTGACTCGAAAAGAGACAACTTAATTGATTCTTCTATTTAAATAAAATGAATGAATTACTATCAATTACTTTTTTCGTCACCTTCATATAAGTGCCTTTTAAACATGGCACCCAGATGAAATAAATTTCATTATGTTCAAATAAGTATATTTGATACAAAGCCTTTATTATGTAATCGTGTAACAGACTCTTTACCCTTAATTCTTAGGATCTGGTGTGCCGTAAAGTGTTGTACAAACATTTTGTAAATGTTTGCAGTGCGAGTAACATTCCAAGACAAGGACTGCGTGGACAAAGCTCTGAAGTTGGATCGCGAGCTGCGCATCAACGGCTTCCTTGTTACCGTTTCCAAGTACCGCGACGAAGACGAACAGAAGGCGCATAACGCCGCCAACGTCAATAAGGTTGGTAGCATGCAATTTAGAGATTTACGTCATATCAGGGAGTCGAGTGAAATAATGTGATCATAGTATAATATTGACTGTCTCACTAATCATGTGATTCAACCTCGTCAATGATTCATACAGAAAGTTTAAATAGCAATGGTTGAAACTTATTATTATATGTTTGTTACTCTGTATGCAGAACAAGAGGCAGCACCCGAACCAGCAACAGAACAGGAATAACTCCAACGCGAACACAAACTCCAGTCCTAACTCTAACCGCGCCAACAACTTCCGCGCCCGTGGCGGAGCTTTCAACGCGAGGGGCAACTTCAGAGGTATTATAGATTCATCGTCATCATCACTACTATTTACTATTGGACAGTCTACTGAGAGTCAAATCATTTCAATTAGACCATTAAAGGCATGTCTTAATCTTCCGTGTCTAAATTGTGTCAAACAGTTAATCTAAAATCTTTGTCTAATGTAGAAACATATATTGTAGTGAAGCTATTTACTCATTCCTAAATAAAGATTCCTATGAAGAATGAGCAAGAAACTTCATGGTTACACCTCATTTTCGATTGTCTGTAAAAGTTAAGTACACCACTGTCCGCCAGTTGTCGCCCCATTTGGCTGCGGGGTCCTATTATAAGTGATCAAAATTTTGATCTTTAGATGTTAAAATCGTACTTATATTAAGTTTAAGTATTATAGGATAATTGACACAAAAAGTAGTTAGCTTGTATTAAGTTCAAAAATTACTTTATCAGGAGCGCGCGGCCGTGGTGGTTTCGGAGGTCGCGGAGGTACATTCCCCCGCGGAGGATTCGCCCCAGTAAACACCTACATGCCGCCTCAGGGCTTCATGGGCCGCCCGGTAAGACATCTTACACTCGACCTGTTATGACTATTTAGCTACTAGTGTGATCTCATAAAGACAGAGTGATAAGTCAATCGACATGCGTAACAAGTATTTGGTATTGAAAACAGGACTGAAAGCTAGATTTACTTTTTTAAAGGGATTTAAAATAGTCTTCTGCCTTCATGTTATAAAGTAGTGGTATCTGGATGTAGTTACCTAATATCAGTGTTATTTCATATTAAATTGCTCTTACAAAACCATTGTAATATGTTTCTTGTATAGCAGATAAATTTGAACAAAAAAGTAAGAACTAAAAGCCTCATACCTTTTTCATGTACTTAAGTTAATGAAACCAGCCCTTTCTGTAAGAAAAATATAAAATAAGTCACAGGATTATTTTTTTTATTACTGTTTTTTATTGGCTTATTACTCTGCGTTATGATTAGATCCTACAATTGAAGCTGCACTGCATCCCATAGCTATGTTACCACTTTAGTCATGTCTAGGCATGTTTGTTAATGTTTACCATTAGCTTGTTTCAATGCGATTATAATAAAACAATTACAAAGGCAAACAAATAATAAACTATTTGCAAAATTAAAAACATTTATGATAGCTACATGTACGTATTTAAGATGTAAATAGTAAATAGAAAGGGTAACAAATCACATACTTTAAATTGAATGCAAATGCTCTTTTGCATGTCCGTTTCACACCCGTATTTTATATAGCATTGCTTTAGTATGTACAAACCTTTGTTGAACTTCGTTACGATAGTGTCGATTTCATGTGGTAGAGGAAACCATATAAATGTATACTATTTACGTATTCCAATTTTTATTTATTCCCATACACTGTAACACATTATGTTGACTTCTTTCGAACTGTATTTTTTTGCAATAATGTTTAAGAAGGCTTGACTATTGCATGCTTACAATTACAATCATACCTTAGAAATGAGTGCATAGAAAGATGTGCAAAGAAATGCAGTACAATGACGAGACACTGGAAAAAGGACAGAATACACACCATCTCTGCAATTCTCTGTGCATTAACACATTCTGTGCATTCTTTTCAGAACTACCTGTAGAAAACTTACGCCAGTTAATTGCAAGGTAATATGATGGCGCGCCCTTTCAATATGTGCCAAGTGTGTACAAACAACCAAGGAACAGTTTTGTTGCTAGGGAACAATAAATACGATATTGGTATTTATACTAATACCAATGATACCTCTAAATGTAAGCTACCTATTAACTTTCACTAGTTTTGTTTTGGTTGCATGTATTCAAATGGTACAATGTAATTGTAGTTTTATATTTGTTTCATGACCACGTTATTGCTTGTCGATCACAAAGTAAGCATGTTTTGTGGTGGCGAGGACAGTAGTTAGCTGTGTTGGTAGACGAAACATTTGATAATGACTCATGAACAATAAATAAACGATAAAATAATTGTGTAATCTAATCGTAATTCGTTTCTCAGCAGGGTGGGTTCATGAACGACGGCCAGCGGCCAAACAAGCGACTCCGGCAAATGTAACCATATTGTTTTAAGACATAAGATCCAGTGTCGTGCATCGTCCTCCTATGTTCGTGTGTGTGAGTGTGAAGAGCGCCCTATCAGAGACTTCTACAGTGACATGTTTTGCAGTATCAGTAATGAGAAATAAATCTAGCTAATTGTATTTACTAAGTACATGAAATAAAATAATTGTAAGCTAATGTCTTTTTGACAGGTAATAAATGTAATTACTAACATTTACATGGCTGTTTCATTTTTATTCCGAATTTCACTAGCAAACAGAAAGTAATATTGCGCTGAGCATTTCCCTTTTATTTGCATTTAATTAACACATAACATCGTTTGTATGACCGGAACACGACAACACTAGTAGTTGCATTTGTCATTCCGCACAATTTTGACAAAGGTAGGTTAGGTGAAGTATATCATGTTTAGGGATTGGGATGCTTTTGATAGGAATGAAAGGGTTTTAGTAAAAGTGAAATAATGATTTCTGGCAGTCAAAACATACTGGGTACTCAAAATGTTACAAAAATATTGGAACAAATTTATTTTAAGTGTTGGAAAAATCTACATTGGATATTCGGACTAGAGTTTGTACTATGCGACAAAATGTGTAGACGGGTAACCTATGCAATTAACTCGAAAAAATAATTTGTTATCGAATTTCACGGTCTATAAAAATACTTGAGAGATGGTTTCGTTGTAATTTGTTTCCGCATCGATTATAGTCCACTTATAAAGCCACCCTACAGTGTGTTTGCCGGAGGTACCGACAACCTTGTTTGTATTCATCTTCGCGTATAATTGTACTAATTGCTTTTAATTCCCCGTTATAATTACACCATAACGTCTTGATTAAAAGAGAAAGTTGTTATTAAAAGCACAAACATATCGGAAAATCAAATGTTAGATCAATTCGTGTGAGGTGTAGGTGTAGACGTCTAGGAAAATGAAGAAACCTTAGTTTATAAAGTGCAGTAACTCTTATTGACACATTGATGTGTGCGTTAATAAAATAATTAATCAAGTATTAGACTTAGTAATAGGATTCTAAATCGTTATTTATTTTTTACTACAATGGACTGCTTGTAAACATAGTCGGGCGCGACTTGCAGTCTCGATTGCAGCAGTTAGTGAACATTAGTTACCGTGTGTGTACAGTGCACGCACGCATTTCAGTACGTGATAGAAATAAAAATAAAATGTGCTAAGCAAAATGTTGATGTTAAAGTTGTGTTGTGTGCTGTTGTTCGTAATCTTGGCTGAAGGCGGTAAAAGCAATTCACGCCAAAATCTACCGAGAAAAGAAATTAGAGCTGGGAAACGTCTCGAAAAAATCGAAGTGTTTGATAACTTGTTTAATGTGTATGATCCAACGTTTTTGGCAGTTGTTTGGCCCAAAATCACGAATGGAATGCACATTTTAGTTGATCCCAACTGTTGGGAAGAGCTCGGATATTTCTTCAAAGACTTGACGGAAGGCAAAGCATGGGCATACAACGGTAAGTCGCACTAATTAACGGCACTATCATTGAGATAATGAAAACAGTAAGTACGGTAATCTAGTAATTGTATGTTATGGAAAAAATATTTTCTACTTACTTTTTAATAACGTACCATAGCGAATAATGCAGATATTTATCTCACGAGTGTTGAAGATGATAACTATCATACTATGTGTAGATTGCCAGTTGGATGCACCTCAAACTCTCATGATATGACCTACGCACATACCAACGGTTAAGCACGACTTCTGTGATAGACAGGCTACTGCAAATTGAGATAATTCTAATAGATTAGGTATATTAGGTAAATGTATAAATAACGTAAAATAAATTTAATATTCAAATAAAGGAATTAATTTGGTCATCATACCTAGTGCTAGCCCGAGCGTACGGCGCGTAGCGTTCCGCGCGCGCCTCAAAGAGCCAATAGACCACCACAGACGGGGCCCTAAAGGGCTGATGTTCAGCCGGGGTTGCGGGGTAAGCGCAATGAGGTACCGCGACCTCGGCACAGAGCAGGAGAAGGAACAGGGGGGTTTTTAGTCAGTAAGAGTCTGACACTCCCTCCTGCCCGGCCCTGGGCGGGAGAAGTCATTTGATGATTTTCCCCTCACAAAAAAAAAAAAAAAAAAATACCTAGTGCTAGAGATGCTCGCTCTTGTTATATGATCCATTTACTTTTAATTACAGTTTTTCCGAAGAAAGTAGTACCTCTGTGGTATACACCTACCCGCCTATCATTTCCATTTATTATGCATGCATGAATTTCTATATTATACATTTCGCGGTATAACTACGTCGTATATTACCTACCCACTTTCTTCAATGTTTGACACACATCACATACGCAGCGATAAAATTCTCAGATTTGTCCTTAAAATTGCAGAATGTCCGACTAATTTAGTTAAAACCTACAGTTTTATACAGTACCTATGCTATTTATTTACCATTTATTTATTATAATTATAATTGTGGAGCAGGAGAAGGAACGTGGTTTTAAGGAAGTAAGAGTCTTCCACGGTCTCGTGAGCGATTCACGAAACGGGGGAAGGCGTTGGTCGATATAATTAGGCATATCTATTTGCTTATGTGCACATACCTACATATTCAATATTTTTTTCTCTTATTTTCATTAATGGTTATCATGGGCAAAAGTTCAAACTTTCAAGCCCAAATTTTTGGAAACTAGTAAGCACATTTTAATTGAACTAGATACCTAGTTAAATATCAATACGCAAACATCAAGGCAAGGCTTGAAAACTTAGTAAAGTCCATTCTTGAAAGAGAAAAAGAGAGAAAAGCTCTTGTAAAGAGAATTTAGAAAGACATAGGTACAGTTTTAAGTTTTACAGTACAGAGGTACCTATTATTAAATACGATATCTAGTAGTTAACTACCTACACAATATACCGATACGATACCTAGTTTTTATGATTTTGGACTTGGAACAATATATGGAAAACTGTCCCACGTAAATACGCATAATATTTGTGTTGTGTATCATTTACTATAAGTAGGTATTATTATGAGTGGAGGAAGGTAGGTACATCTTCTAAAAGCTCATTCGTTTCGTTATTAAAACCCGAGGTATGTTTTTTACTTAAGTAGATCTAGGTATCTATAAATACTTACATAGTTAATACTGTTTCCTGGCAATAAATTAGAAATGAACACTGGTAGGCAGGCACTTAAAAGTAACGATAAAAGTAATTTTCCTCATTATATCAATAATTGTATGGTCATCGACGTGCGTGACAACAAATCGACATTAACTTTCGATTATTCGTTACAATGTGAACGTTCTTAAGTTCAGTGCTCGTCCGTGCACATCGGCTCATTAGCGCAGCATTCATTCGATTTTGATTTAGTGAATATTGTGCCTTTATGATGATGCGTGTCGCGTCTAGTTTGTTGTTTGACTAACGAACTAGACAATGGTATTTTGTTGTGGACGCTTCATTGTATTTGGTCAATTAAAAGTCTACATTGTTGTTCGTTCAAAAAACTAGATACCTACAGTGCCAGGTGTTGAGTTTTATTAGGTTCTCTCCCACAGTTTCACCCGTTACGATCAAAAACATCACACATCCACGATCGATGATCGATAGCCTATAGCACTCGGGAACATGTAGGTATATAATAATATCAGTGAACGAATTTTGGAAATCCGACGAGCTGTTCCATAGATTACCCTCTACATACAAACTTACAAATTACATCTCTTTATTGGTAAAGTTTTTTTAGAATAGATTTGGTTTTCATTTCATCAATAGCTCGTATTATACCGAGGACTACTTAGTAGAACGCTATGTTACTCACAAAAATTTTGTAACTGTAGGTAATTATTGGTCAGTGATAAACGCTAAGGCCACTGCCGATTAGCTGCGCAGTACACAATTTTGTTCCTAAAAGATCCATTGCGCAGACAAACGGCTAACTTCAGACTCGCCAAGATACGTCAGCCGCACTGTACATAGTACGAGTCCTTTTTAGTCTACTCATACTTCCCGTACTTTTTTTTTTTTTGGTGTCGGATTGGAAAATCCTCATGGAGACCCATCGCCCTCGGGGAAGGGCGAAGGGTACTGTCAGACTCTTACTGACTAAAAGTAAAAACCAACCCGATGTTCCTCCAATAACCCATGTGTCGGAGGGGCGGGTATCGCCGAAGCATTCGTCGCAACCCCCCGACGGGTGTTGGCCCGCCAGATGGTAAGGCGGGCCCCGTCACCCACTGCGGCCGTCACCCCGACCGCAGGACTCCACTATGAGGCGCGCGCGGACCCGTACTGTACAGACGTGCCCTAAGTTGTGACTACTTTGATCGATTTAATAGCGAACATCGAACAACCTGCTGAGAAAAGAAAACGGTGGGTTTTTTTTCCTACCGAAAAGATTATAATTATAAGCGGTTTTTTACAGTTAATTTTTTTATACCCCCTTCTCTGAGTTATGGGCATTGGGCACCCTTAAATACCTACAAGGGTTTAATCTGCTCGCTTGGCAAGGCTGGAGACTTCATTTTAAAAGGGTCAGAGGACGCAACCGACCTGTCTCTGTCACTTCAAGAAGACAGAACAAAAGTATTCTACTTCGTCGTAACCTCACACTTAGCTTTGGCTTACGTACTAATCTAGCATGTTTTAAATGAAATTTCTCGAATTAAAACCCTGTTAGGCGCTTGAACTACAAAGTATGCGCATTTATGAGAAACACTAGAAAGAAAAGTATTCACGCAACAATATACTTAATGCTGTTAGCACGCGCGGTGTCAACAAAACATACTTACATGAAGCAATACTACTTACAGACGTTTTTATTGAAATGCCTCAGAAAAGAAGTTACCTACCATAGGTATTATGACAAAAAGCCTGTCGTGAGACTTGTAATTCTCTTTCTTTTTTTAAAATATATTAATGACACTAGATATTAAGTAATTTAATTTAAAGGTAATAAGGGTCAGTTTGTTGCTGTCGATCAGTTCTCTAGTGACGCTATTTGCTTGTTCCAAAATGAAGATGTCTATGGAGAAGAACGAGCAACGAACTCCATGGTTACTCTTTTTCAATCAGTTTCTCATTCTAATTATTAGTTACACTATTAAGTTCGTCCTATTGTATGAGAAAAATGTAACGCAGCGTTACACCAATATTTAGTCAACTAAATACAAGAGCGCTCATTAATCTGCAAGAAACATTGCAAGCGTTATCCATGCGTAGTCGAATTTAGGCTAGGTACGTCGCGTAGCTCTCAGTAACCATAGCGACATTCGTACAGTTAAATCGTACCTAGGTACAAACACAATGAACGCACAGCTACAGCAATAGTGTCGGGTAAGATGACGTGAGCCCACTCAGCATGACACAGTGAGAGTTAAATCTCGCACTTATAAAAATTAATGTGGAGAAATTACTCTAGTCATAATACGTATCTAGCAAAAGAAATTATACATTTAGGATTGTTTTTTATGGTATAAGTCGGCAAACGAGCAGACCGATAACCTGATGGTAAGCAATCGGCGCCGCCCATGGACACCCGCAACACCAAAGGAGTTACGAGAGCGTTGCCGGCCTTTTATGGATAGGGGTTGCGGATATTAGGATCGGGAAGGGATAGGGAAAGGGGTGGGATTGGGCCTCCAGTAACCTCACTCAGACGGCGAAACACAACGCTGTGGTTGTTTCACGCCGGTATTCTGTGAGGCCGTGGTATCACTCCGGTCGAGCCGACCCATTCGTGCCCAGGCTTGGCTCTCCCACACTGTGTTTCGATTGCTATAAGTTCTATAGATACACGACTTGTATTGTAATTTGTAACTCACTCTGACAATAACAGAAATAGGGGTTTATCCTACTTATATTATAAACGCGAAAGTTTGTAAGTATGTATGAGTTTTAGTAACTCTTTTATTAAGTAAAAAGTACAGAGCGCATCTAAATTATATTTGGCATAGACATGTCTTTCCCTAGTAGGTACTGCGGAAGGAGCTGCTGGAAGCAAGTCTATCAAGTGTTTATGTTTTTAGTTAGTAAAGTTATTGTTAACTTTCAGTATTGGACGCATCAGGGCGTTACGGGTCAGGACTGTTCATGGGCAACCGATTCTGGTTGGGATCAAAAGAACGGTGTCTCGACTTGGTATGTTAAAACTTCACTATCGGTAACTCGTCTTAGGTACTTTATTGTTCATTTTGTTATGTCTCTTATTTCCAGGATAAACAGTCCTTTATAACGAATAGAAGCTCACCGTTGGTAGAAAATGGTGAGGACGATGTTAGTTCAGTATCGAGGACGAAGTACTTTGATGACGGTAATCTATTGCACATTTACGTAAATGTTGATTATATCCCACAAAACCAACTCTATTAAAATTCTTCTCATTTCGATTCATAGAGAGACACGAGTGGAGATGGATGGTGTACCACGACGACGTGGTCCATAAAGCTGCGGACACCTGGCCACCATTCCGGCTCGCATACACCGCGCTAGGAGTCTCCCTGAATATCACGAAGACCAACATGATAAAGGTTTACATACTATCAAGAGCTCAACTAAAGCTTCCTAGATAGTACCTACACGAGGCTAAATTGTTTTCCTCCTTTTCAGTCCACCGATATAATCTTGGGTCTCTGCATGCCCTACTCGTGTACACCTCGCGACGTCGCGTCTGTCATCAACTTTTCCATTATGGTCAACGATAACTTGAAAGCGAACAAGACAACCTCACGCGCGGCGAGGGTCACAACTGTGAGGCGTGTGGTAGGACACTACAATATCACGTCGGATAGTTCCGGGGTCCTACTCGTATGTATTACAACTATTCTAGTGGCTTTGGCCATCGTCGCTACTGTAGTAGACTTAGATTTGATGAAATGTCTACCGTATGGGTCGAAATCTATGACATTCGATCTAGAAAAATACAATACAGATCCTAGTAGGAAACTAGGTAGAGAAAATGCAAGTACGAAGCATGAGCATGAAGCAAAGACAGAGACGGAGATTTTAGGTGCGGAAAATACGAACACGCATTATATGGCGGTGGAGAGTCTTGTGAAGTGCAGCGCTCCCACGATTACGCTGGACGTGAATTGTGCGGAAAAGATAGTCGGCAGCTGCAAGAGATGTGGGAAGTACAGGAAGCAGTGCAGCAACCCGCGCCAGCTCGACAACCTGCCGCCCTGCCCGCGGCTGCAGTACAACTCCTTCGCGAGCTTGAGCACGCAGAGTAAGAAGAAGAACATCTTCTGCCGGCTGCTCCTGTGCTTCTCTCTGGCGTACTGCTGGAAGAGAATCTTCAACACGAACATGGCGAACAAAGACTTATCGTTGATACACGTAATGAGAGTTTTGGCGACATTTTGGATAATGTTTGTGCACGTCGCTGTTATTGTCGGGTATATATCAGGTACGTATACTAGATATGAAAGTTTCTTGGTTAATTCTGAAAATATTGATAAAGCGTTTAATTTTTTATTTAGATTCCGCTGTGAATATTAACGACCAAGGTGGAGTTTACCTTATCATCGCAACTGGAACAATAGCCTTTGACACGCTATTTTTCGTCAGGTACTTACAGATTAGTTCTGTAAAATTACCTTTTATTTCAATCTTCTAATCAAACTCAATTCTTAATTGGTCATCTTTGATTGGTGTTTGTACTAAATTCCAATGTCTGTCTATTATCTCGATCCGCTGTTTATAAACAAATAAATTGTCTATGAATAAATTAGTAAGTAGTTAAATGATGTTTTGTTTGAAATTTTTGTAGCGGTCTCTTCAGCGCCCACCATTTCTTCTTCTTGAAGAGTCAGTACAGCGTTAAGGAGTTGGTCGGGTTCCAGGGTGCCTGCGGCGAGGTTCTTCAGTTCATTTGCTTCGTCACAAATAGAGTTATCAGGTTTGTGATGAGAGGATCTGCTAAGGATAGTTCATCTTAGCGTTTCCAATGAGCCCATATCATTCTAATGTAATAAACTAACTTGTCTATGTCCAGGCTGCTACCACCGTATGCGTACGCGGTGTTGGTATCCGCGGTGATGGCACAGTCAGCTCACCACACATCGTCGCTGGCCCTACCCGACGGTGATGAGGTCAATTGCCGCGACCACAGCTGGAGGAACCTCCTCTACGTTACTACAGCGTACCCTAAAAACGAACAGGTGCCGTAAAAAAGTGATATGTTCATTCAATTTCAATAAATATTTGTTTAGTAGTATTGTTTAGGAACAGATAATACTTCTTCTATATGGTTCTTTGGAAACCGGCACATATTGTATTATACTTTCAATATCTCATTTGTTTTATTTTTTTACCAGTGCATGCAAATCGCATGGTACCTCTCAACGGAAACGCAGCTTCATATGTTGGGTGCGCTGCTTTGTGCAATGAGTGCGACATCTACTTTGCGTGGGCGCATAGCCGCTGTGCTCACATTGGTCGCCATGGTGTCGGCAACTGTTGCTGACGCTAGTTCAGCGTACTTTGACTTTCAACAATTGTAAGTAATTGCCAATTTCTATTGAATTAGTGTGCTTTGTGCTTTTAAATGAGAATTTGTCTGTTTTTCTTTAGATTTGCGAATTCGTTTGGCGCCTACGCCACTATTATTGAACGACCGTGGGCCCGTATCGCGCCTTACTTCATGGGCGTTTTCACTGGATGGCTGATTCATGTTGTACAAGGAAAGCTTAAGGTTTCTAAGGTAAACATTTTTCTTTAGTTCAAGAGGTCCTGAGATGAAACCCTGTGGCATTCCAGTGTCTGTCGGCCTGTCCTCTAGTGAAGCTATTTGTTCATTTCAAAGTGTTAATTATTATGCTACTAGCAAGAAACGCCATGAGAATTACTTTCCATTCAGTCGAATATTTAGCTAATGAATCGGAAAATTCTACTAGTGTAATTAAATTTGAATAGTTCGGGCTGATGATGTACGCAATGAAAGCTGTTGTGAAAATGATAAAAATACCATAATTTATCTACTAGGTTACCTCGCTACTTCTATGGATGGCATCAATATCGTTCATGTTTACGTCGTCTGCTGTGCCGATGGTGGGGCTGCCCTGGTTAGCTTCGTGGCTGCACCTGACATGGCCTATATCGCTGCTATGGCCCGTGTTGATGGGCGCTACTAACATGGCGGGTAAGAGTTTGGAGAAACAAGAATTTTGAATTACATTACTTTTTTATTAATCGTCTTCGCGATAGTTTTTTGCTTTACTTTGTGCTATGTAAATATTTAGTCATCATTTACAAACTGATTTTATTTAATTTGACATAGGTATGTTCCGCAAAGTAACGACCCATTCGTCAATAGCCGCGCTGAGTCGCTTGAGTTACGGCATGTTGTTGATGCACGCAGCTGTGGCGCGAACCATGTTGCTGGCCGTTGACAATGCGCTCTGTTCCACTACATTGTGTCTTGTGAGTCTTTACTTAACTATATTTCAGAATTTTTTGTTCTTCATAAAGTGAATGTAGTTAAAGTTAAAAGTTCTTTTCCTTAAAAATACTATTTGGCGGGTCCATGGATGGCGCCGATTGTTTACTGTTAGCTGATCAGTGCGTTGGTTAGTTTACCGACCTATACTATAAAAAATAGGTTTTGCAGTAAGTAGATATTTCAAAAATGAACTTACCTTTGATAAAATTAAAACCTATAGCTATCTACATTAACTTTGTAAGATTCCTATTATTTTTGTTGCTTCCTGATTAGTTAAATTTTCCACAGTGGCTGTACTTCGCGGGAACAACATTAGGTACAATCCTGGCATCCCTCCTCCTCTCCCTGCTCGTAGAGATGCCGTGCTGCAGCCTTCTAAGACGACTATCCGACTGCGCCTCATAACGCCAATAAAACAATACTCAATGTATAATAAAAAGTTTATTTATTAATAATATTCGGTAGAAAACTTCATCATCATCATCATCATCAGCCTATAAGTGCCCACTGCTGAGCAAAGGCCTCTTCTCACACGGAGAAGGTTAGAGCATTAATCACCACGCTTGCTCAATGCGGGTTGGTGATTTCAAACTTAGAATTATAAATTATAAGTCCAGGTTTCCTCACGATGTTTACCTTCACCGTATGTCAGTGGTGTCTAAATAATCATAGAAAGTACATATAACTCGGAAAAAGTCACATTGGTACTTGCCAGGTTTCGAACCCGCACCCTCATGCATGAGAAGCGGGCGCCATAACCTCCGGGCCACCACGACATAGAAAACTTACAACTATATATAGATAGTAGAAAACTTACAACTATTTATATTTACAGCTTATTTACATTGTTAGGTACACATCAAATAAATGTACATTTTAATTTTAATAGTATTTAACACTAGTTTAGTATGGTTTTGTTCAGAAGTTAACTTTAACGTAGATTTTGGGGGATATGAAAGGCAGGTATACGTTACGTTAATTTATAGGAATTTTAAATTGCTTGTCTGTGCTTAGAGATCACTGCTATAAGAAAAATGGCGTAGATACTATATAGCATATATTATATTGTAGTATATATACATACTACAATATACTACCCTTTATTATATTGTAGTCTTTGCTATATAGTCTAATAATTGAGTGAAAAGAAATGTCAACGCTGATGACATTTGACACCAGGTTGACATTGAACTTCTACGAATTATGTCAAAGCTTATGTCAAGCCCGTTTATTGATTTTAATATTCACACAATTCCATTGAGCGTTTTTGAGGCAGAATAAAACTAAATTAAGCAAAGTCCAATAAATTCACATTTCTCAGTTACAAGCCTAGATTTATGTACATAAAACTATATACAAGTAAGTTTAATGTAAGTATTGATCGAACATAATTTAATTTTTACCTATTTATTGTATTAATTACCGGATTGATAGTGGTACTGTAAATTTTGTAAAAAATAATAAATTGATACAATCAACGGTTTTGTTTGATTTTTACACATCAGACCTTCACTGGACATATTTTAAGAAGAAAATTAGTTAAGTATTTACTCTGATCCTGTACAATAATTTATGGAAACCATACATACCTACATGCAATGATATATCGTTACACAACACTGGGCACATTTTGTCATGATGATTTGATTAAATGAAAATATACAAAGAGATAACCGTTCATAACCAATTCAAAGTAAATACAATCAAATTCCACGCAACACGTTTCATCGCTCACTGCTCAGTCAGCCAGCCTCCTCGAGGCGAAATATACAATAACTTTAGTATATAAAGAACAATAGGTACCTACGTAAAATATACAATGGAATGCTTAACATTAAATAGACTAACGCCCGGTCCCTATTATCCGACACAAATATTTTTTTCGAACAAAATTGAAATACTATTTTGTTTACTCATAAGAAAGTGACGCATCACAGATGGCGCTACTAGAGAAAATTATTATATTTTTCTCCATAGAAATATTTTGTCTTCTACTGAATAGAGACTGGGAATAAAATAACTAACATCACATTCGCCCTAACTATCAGGTAGCGAAGCGTAGTCAGCGCGGCCATTGGGTTGTACAAATATTTTGTAACGACTCTTGCGCAGGTTCGGAATTCATTTAAACATTTTGGCCTATTAAACTCCTGCGCAATGTACCAACTTATTATTTCCATCCGCCTTGTGGCAGGTCAGTTGTAAAACTGGGGAAGTAATTAAAAGTCTTTGTGGGTAAAGCTAAGGGTGGGTGGTGGCTTCATACTCTGCGCGGTTTCTTCTGCGGAGAGACGATCTTCAGCATGGTGACCATGGGCGCCTCGAAGGCTACTGATATCACGAACGCTAACGCGTACGATATCATTGTCAGACCCAGGAACATGATGAACTAAAAGCAAAAATGTGTTTTTAGTTTTTCTAATTTACGTTTTTCCACCATGTCAAGGATTTGGAGGAGACCTTGAAAATAATATACCAGCTACTACTTAATCTGGAATCCTGTATTAATTTAGAAGGCATATTTTCCAACTAAGTGTGTTTATGGTGTATAACAAATGGGCAATTGGATCAATCACTAGGATTAGCACCGTACTTGGACTTCCACAATATCAAAGGATTACACTTGCCTTACCAGCTTTTGGAGGAGAAGGGGATGGATCTCTTATACAAGTAACTTCAAGTAATACTTACCACGAAGAGTTCTCCCATATGTATAGGGTGTGTGAGATGCATGGCGACGTAGCGCAGCACTACAGGGTGCACCAAGTATGCGCAGTACGTTACTCGGGAGAATGGGTACAGTACTGGCGCAGACAGCAGAGGACGCACCCAACCTGTGACAACAATAGACATTTTTAAAGATGAATGTAGAATAACATGCCAACACACTATTTTTATAAATATAGGCTACAATGGAAATACCTTAATTGAAATAGTAATCATTATGATGAGACATGTTTAATTTATCAACACCAAATTTTTTAGATAGCAAATTTTTGTCACACACTGAGTTGTAGGTACTTTTACTTTAGAATTTGCAAAAACTACAATTTACTATGCCGTGACACGATGTTAATATGTTAATTACTTAATAGATTTCTGTAGGCAATTTATCATGATCTTTTAAAACAAATTGTAAATGTGCAATGTCTTACCTCCATGTCCCGTAGAGCAGGCGATGATGATCCATCCGATGCAGGCAGCCCACAGCGAGTGCGAGAGTGCGCTGTACACGGCGGCCGATAGCACGCCCAGCTCCGTCTTGTAGAGACCGAAGATGAGGAACAACAGTGTCCCCGCACATACTGACCACCCTACTGATGCCCATACCTGTAGAAATAATGATAGAATATGACATGAATATGAGAACATTTTAAAGAAGACTGTGTTCCCAAATCGATGTAAACGCTGGCCGTAAACTTGACGCGATGGCTGGGCAACCGCACGGAACAACTCTTGACGTGATCCCTAAAAATGTTGTTCTGGGTGTGGGTTTTTTTTTTTGTGAGGGGAAAATCATCAAATGAATTCTCCCGCCCAGGGCCGGGCAGGAGGGAGTGTCAGACTCTTACTGACTAAAAACCCCCCTGTTACTTCTCCTGCTCTGTGCCGAGGTCGCGGTACCTCATTGCGCTTACCCCGCAACCCCGGTCTGGGTGTGGGTGTGGTACCTATGAAATTACGTTTCTTAACGCAACCATGACCCAAGAGAAAATTCTAATGTAGGGCAACGTTTTATTAAAATGAAAAAGAAAAAACTAGTTTTGAACAGTCGACAATAAATTTTGTATAACGATCAGAAAAATGTTAAAACAAGATAGTACTCCAATCTGCACAAGAGATAAGGGAAGTATGTAGAATTTATAAAGGAGAGAAAAAATGTGGAATAAAATACCAGGTCTAGAAATGTCATCACTGATACTCTACTAAGTAATAAAATAAGTAATTACCAGAGAATTTTTTAGTCCGACACTCGTAGTCTCAGAAGTCAAAGTCAAAGTCAAAGTTTTATTTGGAAACTAAGTGCTACAATAGGTGTTGTTAGTGAAATAACTCACCCTGGACATCTTAATTGTCAAATTGGTCTTGAACAGGATCCATCCAGTGAGCATGCCCACGAGGTACGGTCCGAGCCTGGTCCACGGCTTCTCATACACCTTGTCGAACTGAGTGAAGGGATCCTCGCTGTTGGGGATGTGGTCGTTGCTCCAGGAGACGTAGCCAGTAGTGAAGAGAGATGACATGAATAGCACGCCGGTCAATGAAGCTGATACCTTGAAGTGGCTGTGAAGGAGACAGGTTTTGATTTTTAAGGCGTTTGAAATGATTGTCTTTAAAGCAGATCAGATAGACTTCTAAAGACTACACATTTTTTCGCAATTATTTGCCGAATTTTTAACAATTTTGTCATGATTCTTACCTGGTCGCTAGGATCAGAAGGATGGCGCTGACTGCATAGAACTGAGTGTCGTCGGACAGATACCAACTCCACAACATGCACTGAAAGAAATAATATGTTAATGAAAATAACATCAAACTTTAATGTAATGTAATGAAAGACTTTATCGGGGGAGGCCTTTGTCCAGCAGTGGACGTCTTCCGGCTAATGATGATGATGATGATGATGATGAATGAAAGACTTTATTAGATAAACTTTTAGAAACAAGCTAACGGAGGATTAGCCTTCAATAGATTTTGTCGACAGTCAAAGACTTAATTGATAGTCTATATCTCACCATCTGCTCAACAGGGAAGAGAGTGTTGATGTAAAGCAGATTCCTCCACCAGTACTTGGGGCAGGTGTCGTAGTCATTCGCCGGGGGCTCGAACACTGCGTTGTGGGCGAACCACTTCATTGTCACCTCCACCACGCCCAGGATGAACAGGTACGGAGCCGTTAACCTAGAGACAGAACATAGGTATATTGAGGTATAAACATCAGCGGTACGGTTCAAAACCCACGCTACTCGTGTCATAGATAATATATCTACTTAATATAGGCATAATATAAATCAGGTTCATTCTTCTTTCTTGCTAATTGTTCAATTTTTACGAAAAATATATCTTAAATTTGAAGGTGTATTTTAAATAAATAATTTAACTTTGCATTCGAAATTCAATTTAAGGAAGTTTATCGAGGTTGATTTAACCTGGCAAATCTGTATCCAATAAGTCCCAGGAACTGCAGAACTCCGGAGGTGAACTTCCTGTGGCCCTTCACCAGACGGTCCAGCTTGCCCTTTGTCTTCGTGCGGAAGTAGAGGAACGTCACCAACATACCACTGGAGATTTTCAAAGAGAAATTAATAAATAGGACCTTAGAACACTTCTATCGATAATTATTGAATGTCGATTACTGGCAAATATTTTATTTTCTTAAGGACTTTAGCCTACAATTTTCTCTCGGAGTAGTAGATTCAGAAAGAAGTGAAACAGATACGGTTATAAATGATCATGATGAGAAATATAAAGTACCCAAGACAGAAGAAGGTATCGACGCTGTAGACGGCGCTGATGATGAGTTGGAACCAGAAGCTCTTCTCCAGGATCGCTCGCAGGGCAGTATTGTCGGCGTACTGAAAACAAAGGAAAATGACTATTATTCTATAGCTGCCGATAGCACCTAATATGTAGTGCATTTTTGAATGAAAACATCAATTAATATCTGGTATATATTAATTAATTAGCAGCTTATTATTATTAGAATACATTAATTAATGACGAATTAATAAACTTAGTTTACCTTGAAGACAACGATGCAGGTGTGACCGAATATAACCCAGACCATGGAGAATGACCTGAGACCATGCACGACAGGCACAGTGTCAGCTCCAACAGACTGGTCGAAGATCTGCAGTACGTTGGCCTTCATGGAGAATGAGAGAAGCAGCTCGGACCAAATGCCTGTGATGGTATAATAGCAACTTACAACTCTGAGGATATTGCTCTTAACTATGTTGTAGGAGTTAATACAGATTAGTGTAATTATTAGTTGTATGTAGGAGGAGTTCTAGTAATTACTTACCTTATTTTAGTACTACAAAACATCCCCGAAATCAGTAAGAAGGGCTAAATGTACTTTACATATATCGTAAGCAATATTATGAAGTTACACTTTTACAAATTAGGGATATATTGAAGGAATAAGGGGAGATTCACGTCTAAAACAAAAATACTACCTGTGGCAGTGACAAGTCCATAAGGCTCCGTACCATTAGACAAATGTTATAACTTACTGAGTTTGAGTTCGTCAGTGGAGAGTGTCTCAGCGGTGAGACGCTCCTCCGATGTGTTGCTGTTTATTTGCAGGTTGTTGTTCACGTTGTACATCGACTTGCCTGCACATTAAACAATAAAAATATAAGGAGTAGCCAGTAGCAGCGCGACAGTCGCCGCGTGGCGTGTCGCGGAATGCTGCTCATGAATATGGGCTTCTAGCATGGCTTGAAACTAGTCGAGTATCTCGTCAAATTATTGCGTGAGTAAGCCGAAAACATAATAATTAATAAAAATATAAGTCTAGCTATCAGTAGCTTAATTCTTTTTTACGATTGACGAGGTGGTAGGACACCCGGCTGCCGCCCAACGTGTCGCGGGCACGATTCCCGCATATAACAACTCTTTGTGTGAATAACAAATTGGTGTTCCGTATCTGGGTGTGAAGTGCATGTGATTTTTATGTTTTTACCCACGGCACAGGAGAACATCCTAGTGTGGGGCAATGTTTTTTACAAAAGAACCAGAACAAGCATCAAAAATATTTTGGCAAAGGCTCCTGAATGTGGTCTAAACAAGACGGGCATTCCTGTAGTATACATGCACATGATATATCGTTTGTTTGAACAAACATATTCAAGCAAATTTAAAAAAGAAGATTCAAATATTTTCAATACCATTAGCGACAGTGATGTCGTCAAGCCCGTTCAGGTCGAGCTTGAGGTCGCTACGAGCGCCGCCGTTGGCGATGTTGGCAGCCATATTGGCAGCGCGCTGTCTGTGTCGGTGCACGTCGCGGGCTATCTTTATGTCGTAAATCGTCGCTGTGATGAGGAGGACAGTAACCAGGCAGGTCACGGCTCTGGAAACAAAAGTGTAATTTTTTAACTTCACATTTGTGTGGTTGTAGGTGATCTTCCAGATCCTGAACAACAGTTTTGATTCCGCTTTTTTTTGTGAGGGGAAAATAATCAAATGACTTCTCCCGCCTAGGGCCGGGTGGCAGGGAGTGTCAGACTCTTACTGACTAAAAACCTGTTTCTTCTCCTGAGTTTTGATTCCGCTTGGAACACTATTTTACGCACAGCTTTTCACTTATTAATTTATTCAAAATGAATATTGTAAATGCGAAAGTAACTCTGTCTGTCTGTCTTTTCTTCACGCCTAAACTACTGAACCTATTTGTGTGAAATTGGTATAGACATAGTTTGCAGTAGGCTGCGCGACGTCGCCGCGTCCGCGCACGCTGCTCATGAGGAAGAACCCCTCTGTGGTTCGAAACTAGTAGAGCTTTTCTCAACATTCACAGGTGAGTAACCCGCGAATTTTAGTTAATTTAGTATGTCTCACGATAGTTATTATAAAAACATAGTTTGGAACTCGAGAAAAGACTTTTTTAACCAAAAATCTGCAGGAAGTCACTATTCCACGCGAATAAAGTCTCGGGCATAAGCTAGTTATCAATATATTTGCACTTGTAAACACACCCATGGGTTTAAAAAATATAAGGTAGGTAAAATTTAATAAAACGTATCCCTCTACGACATTCATTATATATTTTTCTGTTGATACTTGACCAATAATTTAGCTGTCGCTCAACAAAGCATAACTTTTGTAACGTTAAATAACATATCCTTTGGCAGTAACTGTAGGTCTAATAATATAACTATTTTACAATTGCCCCCGTTGTGTCTAAGTATAGGCCATAGTTCCGTGGTTTACAAGTAATATTAGATTTGATTATTTACTTCGACAATCAAACCAGTTAAGAAACGCTCTTTATTCTATTGTCTATAGATGTTTTGAGCATACTATTTATTTATATGACCATGTAATGAATTTTCAGTGTAATTTTATTTAAAAAATCTGTATCAGACCTGTATCGATAAACTAGATTCTTCCGCAGAAGCGGAAGAATCTAGTTTATCGATGTTTCACCCTGCTTCTCTCTTATAAGTTGTAGCATGAAGAAAAAACAACAAGAATTATTGAATTCGAATTAGTAATTAAGGAGCTTAGCGCATTCAAACAAACAAAAGTTTTATAATATTTAAATACATAGTACCTAATGTAAATTTCATGACAATAAATAAACCATAAATCAACTCGTGATCTAAGAGTATAAAGTCTTGTTATACTCTTTAAGAATGTGAAACAATAACAAATCAAGATTAGTCCCGAAAATTGCTTAAGCTATTATATAACTTACGCGGATTACATAAAGTGGCGCACTACATTCTAAAGGTCTATCGCGCGGGTTGCCGGCTAGTCTAGTACTGTGACGTCACCGAGAATGCCTGACACACAAACACGGTTCTAGAAAGTGGAATAAACCGGCGTATCGCAAGCCTTAGGAAATATCTTAATGTCAACAATTTCATAATTATGGTAAATGTGGTGTGTTTTATTGGAGTTTTTCCAGTAATTGGCAGTAATGTTTGTTGTGAAGTGACAGCGGAGTTAGATTATGTTTGACCCAGTCGTCACTTACGCGACTGTCGTCGAAGAAAGATTTAAGATGTATTTTAAAAAGATCAGAAAGCAAAGAACATATAAACATACGTATAAATATATTTTTAAATTAGGAAAACATCAAATGAGTTCTACCGCCCTGGGTGGAGAGAAAAGGATTTCAGACTCTTATTGACAAAAAAACCCTTTGTTTTCCAGACCCCTTTCTTCTCCAGCTCTTCCACAACGCTGGTTGAAATCTGATCATATGTGGGCCATTGTGCAGGAGACTCACAGACCAGTATTGGACTATCAGGAGTTATTATAATATTGATGTGAATTTGTAAAAAAACTAATACGTACATCGTCAGATTTCTATAAAGATTAGCTGTAAGACCCGAGTTGAGTTGCTTTTACGAAACAATTCCTAAAACAGCTTGTTACGTTCAGTTTCTCAAAATACCAAATATGGATCTTTAGTAGGCCAGAATGTATAGAAACTTGTTATATATTTTATAATTAATTACCATATTTATTTAAAAGAAATGTGAACAAAATTCTTTCGTTAATCTAAGTAAGTAAGTTTTCTAATTTTAATAAGTAACTGTTAAGAAATGTAATGAATATAAAAAGCCACTGATACTTACTAGAGTTATTACGAAAAGAAATAAAATTGAAACAGCAAGTGAATCAGAAGCAAATAAATTAGTTAAGAAATATATTTCAGAATGCAACGAAAACATATATTTATGTTGAATGCTTACTTCAATATATTATTAACCTGATTACTTACATAACTGAGTTTGTAGTCAAGTTTCAAATAAGCAACATTATTTATACGATCGATATACATACATATGTACATACATATATATTATTTTAAATGTCTTGATTCTCGGCTCGGATGAATTATTACATGTTGATTTTGTAAGTTAAAATTGTGAACTCCAATCAAGCCGTTGTCATTGTTTTGTGTCCAACATAGTAAAGTTGCATAGTGATGTTTTTTATGAGGCCAGCCCGTATTTACTGTCTAAACTTATAGAACTCTTAAAACCTAAGAATTACAGTAGAGAGTACATAAAATTACGAAACAATGTGTGTGATCCGAAGTTGGTTGAATGAGGGTAAGTCGTGCGTAAATAGTTCCAATCGTATCCAAATAATAATCTAAGAATGAGTCGCAAAGAAGTTATAGTGGATACGTATATGTTCTTCTTGAAATTTTCTTTAGCAAATAATACTCAGTACTCGTGAACACAAATAAGTTTTTCGCAAGATGTGATAACTAAAGTTGCTTAAGTTAGGATTGCTTCCTACTTTGTCGCTGTTGTAATTGTGCTTGTTAAACTTGTTATTCACGTGTTCACTTAAACGTGAAGATAATATATATCTATAAGTTATTCATGAAAACTTGAGATGAGAACTAATTATGAATAACTATATATATTAGACTAGGCTTTACGAGTAACTTCGCCCGTAGTACTAGTTTAAAAAGTAGACGTGTATTATTCCAGACAAATGGTCTATTGTAGTGGGAAATTTCTTTCGCATATACTAATTCAACACGGTCGGATTGATGTCTGGGTTATCTGCTAAACTCAAAGAACTATTGAAACGCCATTAATGAATATCTGTCAGTCTATTCGTAAATGAAGTTAAATTCTCGTTCCAAAATGTACTTAGATTCGAATGAAGGATCATTGTCTCTTTTTTATTTGTTACTCGATATAATAATTGAATAATACATACTAGGCTATGAATACTTACAGTAACACCCTGAAGGTAGGGTCTCCGAGGTAGGTATAGCCTCCATGTTGAGGTGATCTTACGGCTACAACGTTGTGACGTAGCAAAGGTGCGCGTGCGCTGGCCACCATCGCGGAAACAGCGTCGCGGGAGCATGACCGGGGGAGGCACATACCCAGGTGAAGAGTACGGCGCTGCAGAAGCACAGGTCATAAGTAGCTAGTAGTTTCCACTATGTAGAATGTATATATGTATAAATTTATAAATATTTGAATAAAGGCAAGAGAACGTGGATGCGGATATGTAAAATAATAATTACTATTAAGATTTCAGTGCAGAGGGTTCTTAAAATTTAATTAAAGTAGAAGGTCTAGTCAATTAAGGGCACTAAGTTAATTATTCAATATTAATTGATGTAAGATTTAATTTACAATAACTGATATAAATATCAACTTACAGTCTTGACGACTTCAGTAAAGTTGGTGGTGACGCTGACTTTCGCGATGTAGAAGGCTGTCTCGAAGGGAGGCCCGAGGCCTACCATCGACAGATCCTGGCGCCAATCATTGAAGATCTGAGAGCGAATTGTTTCTGAAAAAACAAAGTCAAATATATACGTTGATAAAAGTATACTATAACTTTAAACTGCTTAAAATTGCAAATAACGCAACATTTAGTGTTAAGCGTAAATCTGTTTTGAAAATTACTATTTATAAAATATCTAGACTGTACAAATATCCTTGAAAGTGAGTTCGAAATATATTTTTCGTAACGCACGCTACGCGCACGCATCTCAGTACAAAAGACATCAACGCGCGGTATTTTCGCGCACTTGTTGCATCACAGTACAATTAAATCTGCTCTTTATTTGTAGTTTGAACGGCTGTTGTATGTCTGAAGTATTGCAATGGTTTCGGATCCGTCAGTGTTATTGCATAATTATCTGTTTTAGGTGTTATTTTTACAGGAAATAGAATTGTAAAAGTGAATCTTGTGCAACACGTATATTCAATAAAGTTTAGTGCCTAAACACTAAACTTTATTTTTTTACATTTTTGTTCATGGCTTTAGTAACATTATTTTAGCAACTGTAACTAGCCTTGTAAGTTGAGATACCTTTCGAAATAATTTTCCAAAACTGGGCATTCCAAGGGACAGTACCAAGGCAATAAACGAAAAAGTTGAAGCTAACAAACTTGATACATCATATTTTTGGACGTTTCTCGAGTGGTGCGCCGGCGCAAGGCCGCGGGTGTTTGTAGAAAGTGACGTAAGTCAACACCCCTTGACCCAGTGCAATGCGCCTGCGCCGGTTGCCGCGCAAACATTGTTGACGCTGCAAAAGAGCCTTCAGTTTCATAATTGTTTTGCTCATGCAACTGTTAAGTAGAGACATGTACCCACTTCCTAATTATTTTCTTTTATATAATAGTATAACAAAGTTTTCTAATTGAAAATGATTAAACAATAAACTTTATAGAAATGTAAGTAATAAATATTTTAAAGCATGTCGTTGTTTGAATAACTTTTATATTTTACACGTTTTGCGTTTCATACACCGCGGCAGTAGCAACACTTTTTGGAGTCTCTTATGTAAATAAGCCGGGAATTAAAAGGCGCGAAATTGTGTACATGTTATATATGTAATCTTACTTTTATTATTGAGGCCCGATACAACCTCTTTCTTCAACCTCAACCTCTAAATCCCCAAAGGCCCGGCGCCGGCGACGCACTCTTTTGGTGTTTGGGATGCCGATTGCTTACTATCAGACAGTGACGCCAGTTTCTTTGCCACCCTTATAAAATAATAAGTTTTTTTTTATTCTCGGTCTCATCACTGCGGAATAGCACAAGCTACCTAACATTATACAGCAGATCCAATTTTACCTTTTTCTATTTGCAATTTTCAAAGAAATTTGTTCCACAGCAATTTTAACCATTAATCGATTGTGTAAGTTAGTCTATTATCGATAGTATTCGATACCAGCATATCGATTAGTGTTGTACATTGAAGCAAGTGTCGCCATATTGCGTGGCACCACTATATTGCAATCTGCATAGGTTCACGTTGACGAAAGTAATTGCTATTCATTTTACGTCGTGTTTTCATGTTCGTTGCTAAATAATACTGTTTTAGTATTTCTAATTAACGCTACTATGTTACTTAATAATATTTTGATTCTAATATAAATGTTTATTGCGTCTATAATGTTATACTAGGTTTTATGCGTATAGGTAACAAGATCACTATGGACCCTGTCAGGCACGGCAAATTACAAAATAATAAAATAAAATTGTATTATGACATTAAGTAAAATTCATTATAAAATTTAATTAAATAACAAAAAATTATTTGATTTATAAGTACATTTTTATATGATCATTTCTACTGGTTACGTTGCGTTCACGTTCACGTTGATAATAGATAGATTGATAGATATAATATGACCAAGGAAAATAGGAATAAATTTAAACTTTAGTAAAATTTACAGTATCTTTTTCTATTTTGCATCAATATATGAATAAACAATTATTAACTTTTTGCAGAAAATGAAGAGATATTGATGTTTTTTTTAAAAGCATTTTTGTAATAGTATATAGTATTCCGGTTTGCTTGCTTAGTACAATTTTCCTTAAACTCGTATTCCTCAATTCCGCAACCATAAAGATATGAGACTTTATTGCGTCCAATTTATCTTCTTATATCGCCTCGCGTGTTAATCTCATGCGCCTACGCAGTTCCGTGCAGACTGACACGCACGTTGTACAAAATATGTTGCAAGATTGTAGTGAGTTAAAGTTTTTAATTTCTATCTATGTAGTTAAATTACATGAAAACTTTTACACCAACACTAGCCATGTCAAAAGTGTGCTTCGTGAAACCCTTGGATTTTTATACGCTACGCAACATTAGACAATTCTGTCACACATAATATCAACCGACTGATGAACTGACTGATGATGACTGATGAGCAATAAATAAAAATGCCCGTAACCTTTACTTTTAATTTAGGGTTGCGTCAAAAATGTTGTTATTCAAAAGTCCACTGAAAAGTTGGATTATACTACACTAAAAAAGTCCACTTAAGAGTTTAAGAACCAATTGATGATGACTATCATCTAGACCGGCTTCATCTAGTTTTGAAACGGTTTTATTTTTTTACATATAATTATGACATGTCGAAGTGAATAATTATTAAAAAAAGGTTTTTGATAGAATTATTGTTTCGTTGTTTCTATAAAATTTTTAATCCAATGTACTTAACTTATTGAAAATTTGTCGATATAGACAAATATTTCGCGAAAGTTATTTATATTTTTTTATCTTCAAGTTACAATTCTTAGATTTATTTTTACTACTATTTATTAGTAACAAAGTTAATGGTCCACCTAATGGTAATCGAATACCGTAGCGATGATATAGGAAACTGTTTATATCGTCATTTTAATACACGGGCTTAGAGAAAAAAAAGAAGATCAAATTAAGCTTACTGTTGCGTTGTCTGATTGGCGTGTGCTGGTCGTTGAGGATGTCACACAGTTCTGCTGATCCCGTCCAGTAGTTGTTGCCCCAGTAGAACATTGATGTGTAGCGACCGCTTGCATCTTCCACTGCAAGATGCAAAGGAAAAAGAATTGTAAGAAAAATTGTATAAATTAAATACAAATTAATATAAAAAGTAGTTTAGTAAACGAAATATGTTAACAATTTATTTAAATAATGCTAATTTTATCTTTACGTAAATAAAATAAAATTTTATTTCCCGCTAAAATCAAGACCTTTTTTTTTTGTTACAACGTAACTGTCACTGCTATCTTAGTGGCCAGTATCATTGCTGATTCACCATGAAGGTTATATTTAAAACAATTATGTTATTTTGTATCTCATATACTGAATCTTTTACTTAAAATCATACGTGCTCTTTTCGGACAATTTGTCACGACGCGGAAAAATATCAATCAGATTATATTAAAATGTAAAATATGAACATTGCGAGGTGCTATAGGAGATGAATTGTGTTGTTCCGACATTTATTGAAGGTTTGCCTTGGGTACAAGTCTTTTCGATTAATTGGCAAAACTTTCCAAAATATATGACTTCCTGCTTGTTTCAGATAAGATATCAATGAAATCGATGTGGGAATTTGGGAAATATTTCACGTTTTAATATAAAATATATAGATAATTATGTATAAATATAAATGAAATTAAAATGAGAATGTGCTTATGTTTAACATTGTACGTACTTTTTTTTTAATTAATCTCTCTTATTTTGCAGTTGTTAGTATTTTTAAACAATTCTTTAGAGCATAATTTATGTGCTATTAAAATAACTTAATTTATTACGTTGTGTAACCACCGAAGGCCTGTAAGATATAATATTACGTTTGTAAATGGTTCAGTGAGCTTACAACTCGGTTGACCTCAACTTTGCAGCTGTGAGCTTTCAATATTGTGCACCAGGTAAGCGGAGACCTTAGCGTCCTTAGACCTTGGAAGTTAGGTGTAAAAGGACAGGTGGTCAGGATAATGTAATAAGTGTTGTATCAAATTAACTATTTAAGCAGTCTGATTTAAGTTTGCTATCATAATCATCATAGCGTTAAGTTATTATTTGAGAGATTCAGAAACTTGATGAAAACTTGATGTGCTTTTGGGAAAAAACTTATGACGCCCCTTTCTTGAGGGAGTGTCAAACTCTTTTTAACTAAAAGTCATGCTGCGGTCCATGGCGCGGTTAATCAGCTAATTGTGAACACAACGACTAAATAAATCTGCTAAGCCTCCAAGATAAGTTGTGTGATTGTAAAATAAGAAATTACAAAAATAATATTAAAAGCTTAAGCTACATGTAAATGTTATGGGCCCTAAATCTGTAGTCATAAATAATTTTCAAATTTTAGTATATTTTCTAAATAAAAATAAAAATAAATAAATAAAAGGAGTCACAGTAAACAACAAGTATCAATCGAATAGTGAATTATCGAGATCTATGTCAAGGTGAATCGATTGTCGCGTGTCACCGACCCCACGCGTTCATTCTGATTGCACTGCGCGCGCGATTGTTAATGTAAAGCCTATATACAAACTATACATATGTATGTTTATGTATTAACAATACTGAGGGACAATTTATCTAAGTAAATATTCTTATTTCTTCATTAAAATTATGGACAAAGATGAATATTTTTGGCTGAACAAAGGCTTTACGTTTGGCAGTCGGTTTACGATTTGCAGTCAATGGTTGATGAGTGACAAATGTTAGGATATTGCTGTCCTTCTTAAATTGGTTGAATTGTCAGACAGACCCAAGTCAGGATGTAAATTGTTTAAATTGACTTAAATTTTCCAATTTCTGGATGGTGGATTAGTGACACATTAATTATGATAATTACACAGTGTCTTTAACAAGGTTATCAGCACTGTATAAAACAGCTTAAAATTAATTTATCTCCAACTCATTTCAATGTTATTTTGTTGTGAAATTACTACAGTAAAATGATAAAAATGTATAGTCAACCAAATACAATACGAAATGAAAATTATGTCTGCAAAAATGGTTTCGTATGATATTAATTATATAGTTCTGATAAGGATATTACTTGCATACTGATGTGAGATCTAGGAACTCCTGTTCTGCTTTTAAAAAATCTAAATATTTCACTGGAACCTAGGTCTCATGACCATCAGATATGTTTCTGACAACGAATCAGTCGGCATCAAGTACAATACCAAGAAAATCACCCAGGTCACTACAGGGTACAAGGCAGGCATTCGAGTAATTGTTTGAAGATTAATAAATATGTGACACCAATCTACGGCAACCTTGTATTATGTGATCATATCTCATGTTACATGTACATAATATGTACTTTACGTACAGCTTGCAAATGTCACGTAATTAAGTTATATATTTTATCTTGAGGTGTGTTACTTTTATGAAAACTTTTATTTTTATTTTTAGTGAGGGGAAAACATCACATGTCTTCTCTCACCTGGGATGGGGCGAGTGTCACACCTTTATTTATTTAAATCCCTTGTTTCTTCTTCTGCTTTGAGCCGAGGCTTATGGCGCCAGCCCGGCAACCTCGGCTGGCTTTTTAACGTCCTCCTCTAACGTCTGTTCGTTTGTCTGCGATAAACGAAAATATTGCTAATGGATAACAGTTACCAGTTTGCTTTTGGGGATGATTTCAGTTTAGTTCAAACCTTCACAATCGATTATTTGAATTCTACCAGTAGCTCGTCAGAAAATTAGAGATGCGTATTAAGTTTGTTAAAGACTGTGATTAGTTAATTTTGGTACGGTACAAAAAGTTGTAGGTACCTAGTGGTCTGTGTACAGGTACCTATCCAGAATCTAAGTTCGTTCAAACTTAAATACGATTTCAAACCGAATATGTTTTAACGCTAGAGTATCAGTATAGAACCTTATTTAGTTTCGAACGTGAACTTTCTATTACGTTTAGCATGTACACTTCTTACCCAACAAATAGAACGCCCCAGATACTTAAGTTACCTAGAAGTGCTATCACAACCAACATTTCCCCATTTCCTTTTTCCCGTTCGGCCGCATACCTTCTAACCACATCTTGCATCTCACGCACTTAGCAATCTGTGTGAGCGCACCATTTCCCAACATGTCGGCAATTTGTTAGTGATTGCTGCTTGCCATGCTGGCCGCGATGGGTCGACAGTGCTGACCTCTGCTCTGTTGTAACTGACAACTGCATTACCTACGTTTCCTCACAGTGCGTTGCAGTTGACACTAGAACGAGTTGTTGCGACATGCCATCTCTAGATGTTTTATGACGCTGTGCATCATTATTTTGTGTAGTGATTTGTAATGTTTCAGCAATCGCATAGTATCCAGGACTGAGACTAGAGTTTAGGTATAGTCACATATTTAATACAAAGCACCAGCACCAGCAACAAAATTATAAACTTCGTATAAAGTATTCAGGGTGTTTGTTATTTAAGTGGTTTTCTATCTAATAAAGGCACCATTAATAAATATGTCTTCTTAGTTCTAAAAGCTTTGAATCATTCAACATTAAATTATCATCTCTCAGTAATTAAGAGGTTTCTAATCAGAACGTGTGGAGGTGTGGCAACGCGGTGTTGAGCGGTCAAGTTGCGCGCGCGCCGATTAGCTGATGCGCTGACGCAACGTGACGTAATCATGTGATACGTCATCGGAAACTCTTTAAATTTCGAACGCCGTTGTTTAGGTTGTACTACCTGCCGATAGTCATGTAGTTGTAATTTGTATACGGTACGTTTTTATTGTTGTTACTAATTGTACGTCCGCCTCGTTTGGTGTGATATTGATTTTGTTAGCGACTTGAATGTTTGAATGTAGTGTCGGTCCGGAAATACTACCAATAACAATTTATACTGTGATGCAGAAAGTTTATAACTCATTCAAACCCACCTGCCGACCCTGGTGATTATGGGAATATCCTGGCTACTGGTGATGATGATGACAGTTAAGGTTTACATAAAACTACAAATGCCTCGTTCATCATTATTTCTCAGTATTTTAAATATACTTTATTTACCTTAAAAAGAGTCAAATTTTCTCTTCTCAGTGACAAAAGTGAAATGTCATGAAATATTTTTGGTGAGAAATTCACATGTGAAAGCATTTGTTTTGTTTGATTTTCTTTATAAACAAAATGGGTTGGATTTGAAAACATACATATAATTTGTTTATTACGAATTATTTTTTTTTGAATTCTGAAGTGGCTGAAATGTGATAATTCAGATAATTAAAGTATTCCATTAAGTATCAAATAATATATTTTTTGAAATGATAGTTAATAAGTATTAAAAAAAATATAAAAGACCCCAGAGAATTATTGGGACTATAGATACAACTTAAATTCATTGATTACTTACTCAAAACGAAATATGTATTGTGTTTGGTCAGCTGAAGACCAGACCAAGACCGAAACATATTTGGATTAACTACATTTGAAAAAAGTCTTCTAATTACATAAATATTAGCAATAACCACTTCATAGAGTAAAAGTGAATAATAATAATAATGACCGCACAAAACAGGTGCTAATAAGTTTCACTGCGCCATAAGTTGCGCGTGCGCTTGTTAGCGGGACCCCCCTTGGGTGCGGGCGCAAGTTACAAGCGATCCGCGGAGAGCTAAGGTCAAGGTGGGAGGTCAGACAAAAGTAATTATATGTGTTGGGGGTCAATTGTATGTGTTTTGGCAAAATTAGTAAAAAGTTTACTCGATTTGAATTGGAATAAATATAATTATGGTTTAATTTAGTGTATACATCTCTTTTGTATAGTTTGTACAAATCTACGGATACAAAATCTCAAATACAATTTATTTGTAGTTGAAGCCAAGTCGTCGTTATTATAAATTTCTATACACATCACTCTTAACTTGTATTTGATAAGCATTGATTCCTTAAATACCCCTTCTCAATGAAGTAAACTTATACCAACTGCATGGTCAATATTTACACAAAATCGCATAGGACCACGTAACCAGAAGGATTGAACTTGACCGCTCGTGTCTTGGGCTGCGACATTGTCATAACCATGCGCTTGCGCAACATATCCACAAGACTACTGGGACTGGC